AGAATTAAGAAAAATATCAATTATGGGATTACTAATTGATCCGATACCAAATTCTCCAAACTAACATGATGAGAATTGTTTGGTAGACAGTTAGGAGAATTACAAATAAGATCTTGGGAGTTGAAGGGTTAATTGTCTTTCATTCTTAAAAGACACTCCTCGGGGATTCGATTTTTTATTTTTTGAAAATAATCACCATTTTTTTACACCATGAGTTACATCTATGCGTTTATTCAGTGCGAACAGAAGCTCACAAGAATAGTTGTCTGTTTGTTGTTGTTTTGTTTAATTGTTTTTTGTTTTTTTCACTTCCCTGGCTTTTTCTGGTTGAGAAATTTGAAAAGGAGCAAAGTATCAGTTAAATTTCGACATGCTCTCAGAGAAATTACAAGCCCTCACCGAGGGAATTTTTAAGTTAAGGCACGACCGATGAATAAAAAAAAAATTTCTGTTCAGAAGTAAATAGTGTAGTTCATGGACACAAGTGGAGGAATTTACCCTTGGTCTATTTCAACCAAAGAAACAACAATAACAACAAATTCCTCGAATGTTAGTCATCATTTTATTCACTATTGATCGCGTGGAGAAATTGAAAAATCGAGGTTACAATCCATTCCGTATTTGTTGATTTTTTTGTTATTTTCATTTTCTTGCAGAATGACTCTAGTATATGATGCTTCAAGCAAGAGAGATTATGATTCCGCCGATGGAAAAGATTTATTCCGAAGTACAAATGTATCACACTTCTTGCAAAGACTCATTTGCGAGTCAAGGGAGACAAACAAAATATTTCGCGATTTTTAGGAAAGTTTAAAGATGTTAAGGGAAAAAAAAAAAGGGGCGGTTATAGTGGCATGTTCCAATTTCTTCATTATTGGTTCTGTAAGTAATATCTGTTCAAATGCGTAGAATTTTCCCGCCAAAAAACTTAGAAAAAATATGGTGCTCAAAATACGCATGCGCCGTTTTTTTTAAATAAAATTACTGCTTTCCATCTGTTGTCTTCTTGTATTATCATTACTACTATCCATCAATAAAATAGTCGACAGTTTCTTGCACAATCTTTTATTGTCGCTTATTATCTATTCAACAAATCACACGTGTTTCACACTGCAATTAATTTTATTTGTTTTAAAGTGTATAGTTCTAAGTAAGTTTCGAAAAAAAATTTTTCGTATATATGCCAAGACTTTTGGCGGGAAAATTTGTAGGAATTTGCAAAGAGTTCCCCCTGACAACTTTATCGGCAAAAAATTAAACAGTCCTTCCTTAAAATTTCCCGCTAAAAACTAGTCAAACAGCATCTCAAGCGAAAGATTGTAAGCTAAACGCCAATGCGTGTATGCCTTTCTAGCAAAATTAACATGGCTCTCCGATAATGTCTTTTTTTCGAGCCAGTTTAGACTAGCTGGAGATGATGTGCGTGAATTTTTACGAAAAAGCATCATAGCAATTTACAATCAATTCAATCAAAATTTATGAATGGAAATGGATTTTTTTCGGAAAGAAATGAAAGATCTTTAAAGAAGCCAGCTTTCGAATGTAACACAAGATGAGAAATAAAAAAAAGACCCAGAAATTTTGATTTCTTCAAACAGTCTTTTTTAGCAGAGTACAGAAAAAAATTTAATGGCATACAATAATGGATTTTCTTTCAGTTACAAGTGTAAAGCTGAAATTTTCTCGATAAAACAATGACTTATCTTTGTATTTGAACAAACCTTTGTCCAAGCATAAAAAAGAAAACAATTTGAAAAATAAGATTATACATTTTTTTTAGCTGCTCAAGCTAAGAAACTTCAAAATTAAGTCAAAATGCTTTCAATTGTTTTCCTGTAGCAGTTTTGAAAATAGATATGTATCAGCGGAGCACACAACTATAATTTGTTTTCAGCAGCAAGATTTCACAATTACGCTCCAAGTTTTCTATTCAATGAAGTACAAAAGTTTTGCTGTCAGATACTTCTTCCGTTCTTTATCGACCGATTAGCTTGCTATTTAAATCTCTTCAGTTCTATTAATTCTTATGTTTTTTGGTACGATGTGTAGAAAACATGTTAGCGCTGATGCAGATCGCCTTCAGAGATAAAAATCGATATTTCTTCGTTAGCAGGTGGCTTATGTAACGACACACTATCTAACTGGGATTTTTGATGCTTCGCAATCAGGCATTAGAGTTTTACAAGTTGACAAGAGAACACTGGTTAAAAAAAAGAAACAAGAAAACTTTAAACTGATCTGATCTTAACATAGCGCTCAATAATTTGAACGAGTATGAAGTTTGGTCAAAACGTTTAAGCCAATGTTCTCTTGCAAACTGAAACTGTCTTCAGTTGATGTGACAAGAAGATAAATGCTAGTTTTTAAGGTGGCAAAGAGTTACTTTCGGTTTTAATATTTTTGCTAAGAATGCCCCTTTTTGAGCAGAGTTCTTTCATTAACCCTATTCATTTCGAGAATGGAATAAAAATTAGATCAACCGGGTTTTCAGTTGGTCAATTTACCTTGACGTTTCTCGTTGCCTTTTTGTATTCATAAAGAAAGAAGTACCGTGATACAATTTCTCCTTTCAATTACGTAATATTCAGTAGTGCCCAGTCAAAGGAGTAGTTGGTACTGAATGGTTAAAAGGTGTAAATGTTTCAATTTACTAATCCGAAGAAATGAATTTTAGAATTACTTGGTCTTTGGTCTGCAGTGCCACCTTAAAAAATCACCTTTTTACACATCAACTAAGATAAAACTGTGATACTTGCTGTTGAGAAAACAAAAATTGAGCGATCAGCGCTTAAAGGTCAACAATTTTGGTGTCATTTTTCTCTAGTCAGGTTATTGCTGTTGTCCAAGTTTATTTTTTGTCAAAGTGAGTTTAGTTAAATTTTCCGAGAAAAATTACAATAAATCATCTCATGGAGTGAAATTTTACGAACAAATCATAAGATCACTCAAGGTTTGCTAAACAGTTCGTACGATTACAAATTAATCCAAAAATGGTGGCTACATTTAAATCATCATTTACCAAGCGTCTCATATCCATTCTCGAGCACACAAAATGGACAAAATGAGATAGAACACAGCCACCCTTTTTTGGTAATGTTACTCAATAATTTCAGAGTTCTTATCTTTGCAGTATCCTCTCCATATCTATTGATTCAGAAGTCTTCACTTGGCCAGATTCCTCCTTCTTATATCCTTTTGACAGCATTCCTCCCCCTGAAATATAAATTATTATTCTGATTAGGGACTGCGTACTGTTTGAAATTCATAAAAAATATATATTACACTGCTAACGACAACTTGAGAATTTCCAAAGCTTTTAAATGGATTAAGCTCCGTTTCAATGGAGGACAAAATTCTTTATGGAAAGAAATATTAATCCATGTCTTCTAAGATACACGAGGTGTGTTAAGCTACAGATGATATCCCTAAGGAATTTAACATTCGACCTAAAGGAAAAATTTAATTCCAAGCTCATAATGATAAATTCTACCAAGGTGTCACCATAGTTGCTCAAGCAAATATTTCACGTTGAAGAGACTCTAATACTGAACTACTAAAACATGTTCGCTCCTTAACGAAGACAGTTCAATTCCATGAGTATTCCGGAAGGGTTTACGGCAACAACTTTCAAAGGAGAGCTCACCTTTAATTCAAATAAACCAAGAATACTTTCTGTTGCTCTTCGTTACGGGGAAAACGTGTTCTTTCCCTTCTGGAGTACAGTTGTATCTAAAGCATTATGGACGATACGTCCTCACTCTTCGGCGGACAGCATGGTTTTCTGAAGATTCTTGAGTTTCTGATGAATATGGATGAACAACGTCAACCAACAAGCGCCTGATACGTCACAGATTTGTCAAAGAATTTTGTTTTCACGTGCAGTTGGGTAATCAAGACTAAGAAGGAAAGAAAAGCATTGTGTGCGACGAATTTGCATCTGAAAAGAGGAATGCATTAACAACAATTGAAATGTGCTACGAAACTAACAAAATTGATTTAACAAATACACCAGTGTCACGGTGTGACAATTGCTGGAACTTAAATAAAATGTCATAAATTTATACCAGAAATTCCAAAAATAAAGCCTCACTCCGAAATTACAAAAACCTAAATGAAGAGGAAACCTCCTACGAAGGAATTATAAAATACAAAGCAAGCCGTAAGGAATATGACTCACTGATGCACCGCTCTTTTTCGCGTGTTCCAATTTGTTCTCTGGCAAACAGCGAAGATCAATAACCCTCACCCCCAGGAGTGATTGGCATCAATTTCTCCCCACCGAATCACCCCCGAATCAAAATGACGCCGGCTGTAGCGAACGCACCGGTAAATTTCCAGATAGTTACTCGTACCATACAATTTATTCGAAAGCAGTGTGTTCGCAACAATTTCTGACGGTTTGGATAAAGGGAGTAAACGAAATGTCACAAAGAAACGATAAAAGGACGACAAATTGAATAACATTCTGTTCTTTTTCGCACGAAAATTTAAATATATATGTACGGGCGCGGGGACTGAAGCCTAATCGGCAGGTAAACCGCTGGCCCTGAATTTGTCGCAACAGACGCTCTTGATTGTTAGACAAATTATCTTTGTGAGCACCATAGGAAATGTATTGAGAACAGTAAGGAGAACTTGCATACTGATGTTTGAGTGTGAAAGGTTGAACTTCAATTTCTTTACTTTTTTTCATTGCTTATAATGGTCTGCTACGATATGCCTATAATTCAGCAATGCTTATTCCGTAGGGTAATCTGATCCCGCACCCTCTCGACTCACAGATAATCTTTTCAAATTTCCATCACACCCGAAGAGTTTATCTCTGTATTTAAAATTCTTATCCTCACCACCACCCCCCTGATCGTTAGCATTCACTGCCACCACCCCCCTTTCCCTTCGTGGAACCAGTCACTAAACCTGGACATAACAAAAACACCATTTATATTTAGAAACAGTTTAATGATAAAAAAATAACTTTATTTACAGTAAAATCATGAAAACCTGCACACGTTTTAACTTAAGGGTACTGTACAGTTTGCCGTACATTCTACTTTTCTTTTCACAATTTCTTTTCAAAAGAGGTTCACAACACAGAGGCAACGAGTGTGTTTTAAATAGAGAGGCGATAACTAGTGCGTTTTTTGGCTCAAAGTAACGAAAATAAAACCTTAAAATGTACATAGGAGCAGTTAAATAGCTGGGGTTCTCCAAACCCGTTCACGAGTAAACATCTCTGTGCAATGCGAATTTTGGTGTTTTTTAACAGGTGTGAATGTGTTTAAAAGAACAGGGCCCCATTGTTCGAAGGGCAGGAATCACTAACAAAACGTACCGCACTACACAACGGATAGAATTATATCCAGTGAATGGCGTTATCAACCCTTCAAACAATCGGGGCCAGAGGTGTTATTCCATTAGTATTGAATGAATGAATGTCCCTCGAAAATGAGAGACAAATGAAGTAGGATGGAATGCGATATTTGGTATTTTGGGATAAGAACCTTCGATTCCAGTTTAATCTTAAACAAACATCTGTAAAAAACCTAGTGGCAACTAAAATTGAAAAGAATCGTTGAAAAGACTCGTGACCTAAAGCATTTCAGCTATGGATGGACTTCAAAACCAGAAAATGTTCTTCAACAACTTATTTAAAAACTTTTCAATTCATAATTTCACGAAATTCACACTGCATTGGAAAACGGTGACGTCATTCGTCCAGTTGACAGAGAAGAGCCACGCCACGGGTAATCCAATAGTCCGCTGGCTGAATAGACTGCAGATTTACGGACGTGACAAAGTTAGTAGGGTGACCAGTGGACGTGAGGGAGCTGGCACGAAGAGATGTTCTGTACAACGGACATTCGTACGTGTTAAGCTCTTCCTCTGTATCCTCTTTACCTTTTCCATCAGGTGTTGTTGATGGGTTTTGCTGATAGTGTAAAAGATGGAAAATCATTATGCTATATTTTTGGTACAACTTGAACGCGCAAACGCTCGAGTTCCTTCTTTAAGGGTAACGCTTCTGCAGTAAGATGCTCACAGTGAAATGCTTGCTTACCTGTACGGGAATGACGAGTAGTTCGGGAAGAGGGTAAAACCGCTGGCCAGGAAGGGATTCTTGCAAGCATCCTCGCTTGAAATCCCATGATGCTCCATCCAGATAAAGTCCAAAAACAAGAGAGCCTTCGTCCGTAGGAGCACCCTAAGAAAAAAGTGGTTCTATTGGTTTAGAGAGACATTATTAATTTTAAAAAAAAAGTAATGTCAAGACTTCTAAAGATATAGTCTGCTATGGTTAAGTTGTAGTGCTACACTAAAATTTGAAAGATATTTTTCTGATCTCAATATTTGTGAAATTCTCAGGTAGGTCGACCAGAATTTTTCTTTTTAAAAAAACCCTTTTACGTGACTATTCTATTCAAGGTTACTGATTATTACTTTGGTATAGTATTGCAAATTTCTCTGAACAAGGAAATTTAAGTCTGTGGCGGATACCCTGTAGTATTCTACCATTAGAACGAACGGCTTTTCAGCAGCAATTTCACGAAATGCCGTTCATTAATCAACAAAAGTTCCACATGCTCCCGTTTATTGCACCGGGCGAGGCACCTCCCGATTTTGAGTCTAAACAAGTATAAAAAAAGTAACCTCACGATGTGCATGTCGCTACCCTGATATATCTCACCTGGAAAGCAACTCTCTTGAAATCGACGTCGCTTTCACTATGAACTAGTTCATCATTCGTCCATTTGTCATTCAGCACTTGGTAGCAGAAGCTTAACGAGTCAACTGGGAGGTTACGCTGTCGGGCATGTGTCTGTAATACAGCTGTGAGAAAACCTGAGAAATAGAGAAAGACAGTTAATTCACCAAAAACGCAAAAGATGAAAATGTTAGGGATGCAAGGAAGAGAGAGGAAGAGAGAGGAAGAGAAAGAGAAGGAGAAAGAAGCGATAGCTGAGAGGGGTGACTGTAATTTTGAAATATGAGAGCAGGGGCGTGGGCAAGATTTTTCAAGGGGGGGAGGGTCACACTATGTCAAACGTAGGGTAATCACCAAATAGTCATGTCGACGTCCACGCAATGTTTTACTTAATGTGACAAAAAAAAAAAGCTTACAAAAGGAGGGGGGAGGGTCACGGGCACCCCAGGATCACCCCCCCCTTCGGCTTCGCCCTTGGAGAGAGAAAAAAGTGCGGAGAAATGAGGATGAAGATGAAGAATAGCCGGGGGAGAGAGGAAAAAATTGAGGAAGAAAGAAGAAGAGGGTGAGAAGGGAAGGGCGAGGAGGAACATGACGGACAAGAAGCAATGACGGAGAAGGATGATGTTAATTAAGAGGAGAGATATTTTACAGCTAAAATGAAGCGATATATATTTTTCTTAAGAAAAAGAAACGAAACTGTCTACTATCATGCTGATAAATATTACTTTATCTTTATCTCTATTTCGTTCACTAACATCGGTAACCTGACAAATTATTATTTACCTTGCGGGAAAAAGAAAGCTGGTAACCAAAAAGCGTTCGGATGATCACGTGGTGGGAGCGTGGACATCGATGATTGGCTGGTGGTTGGTAACCAAAAAGCGTTCGGATGATCACGTGGTGGGAGCGTGGACATCGATGATTGGCTGGTGGTTGGTGTCGGCGTAACACCAGTCTCGCGAGACACTCGGGACTTTGATCTTTTATCATTCCTGACTAAGTCTAACCAAGAGCTAAAAAAATCCACCCTTTTGGCAAGATTGTCAACCCATGCTCCCAGTGGCTTGCAGGATTCATATGCCGCTTGCTATAATGAATAAAACTAGTGTTAACATGCACTTAGACCTTTAAGTTTGGACGTCATAGGCGTAAAGTGTCTCCGACAGATCTAGGAATCAGTGCCTACTTAATAAAAACTGACCACTAATTTATTGTCAAATGTTATCATTCTTGGATTTGGCTACCTAAACTGAACAAAAATATGCAACATACCGTAAAATGAAAAAAGTTTAACATGGAACTCAAGTCAGTAATGGTCTACAAGTACTTCACAATACTTAACCCTTTAACTCCCAAAATATGATTGTTTTAAATTCTCTCCTCTAGCTTCTCTAAGTTCCCTTGTAAATTAGTTACGAGAATTTGGTTTTCGATCAAGATGACAACTTCTACCTTATAAGTTTGAGTATTCCCATTACCTGTTTGCTGGATAATGTATGGATATTAGAGGGAGAAGTTACATGTTGATCAGTTCTGGGAGTTAAAGAGTTGAGACACTCCATGAATGATACATACCATCCAAGCCTTTGGAACACGGTTGCTAAGCAACGCATCATACGCCTCCTCTAATTGTTCAGACATGAGCACTTCCCCTTTGACGGCCAGTCGCAACGATGAAAGTGATGTGTAAATGATCTCCAACAACCGGTCAAACCGATTTATTTCCTGTCTCAAAACTGTGACAAATGCGGACTGATCTGCGTGCTCGGCCAAAGGATCCTGGGATAGCTTCTTCTCAGCCACCTGTCTCAGGCGGTCTGGAGTAATAGATCCGCGCTTTGGGTTCATTAGATCAGCGGTAAAGTCATTGGAGTTGAAGTCCACTCGTGGAGGGAGGTACTTTAATGTGTCATTCACAAGATCCAGGACTGTGTCGTCATTGGTTTTGTTAGATCTGTGGTAAAAATTAGGAATAAAAAATAATGGAAATAAAAGTTAGATTGACAGCACAGAGAGGTAAACACAGGCCGTAAAAATGAACAAGGAACTAATTTCGGTATGATGAATTTCAAACTCAGTAATTTGAGTTACAGCCTACAGAAAGCAGTAACTTAAATTTTCCAAAGCGCTCTAACCAGCGCGTCATCCTTGACAGGTGCTGCTGCAAAACAAAAAAACAGCATAGGGAAGCCCCCTGTGATCAAAATACATCCCCTTGCATCAATAGACCACAACACTTTCTACTAGTCACTAGATTCTCGTTCTCAATGTCAAAAACTTTCTTCGTTCTGAGAGTTTTTCCTTTTTCTATTCTTTTTTTTAATACAAATAAGAAATGATTGTTCTGAGGGTTTTCCCGACAGCCCTCAAAATCCGTAAAATCCGTAAAACCCTATAAATACCGAAGGAACAAGACAAGTCCAGTTCGACTCAAAAATCCCAAAACCACTTCATTTTGTAAGCGCGACCAAACATATTACGTCATTAAAATTTAAACCATTTGAATAACCAATGAGTGCTAACAAAGTCCGTGATTGCGCCCGCGCCAGGGCGTAAGCGCCACCAGATTTCTTTTAAAGTTCTTTTATGAATTCAATAAATGCTGAAAAGGTTGCGACAGAGATGTTTCAGTCATACCCTATGGACGTGGTGAGGCGAGGCTGGGCTGCTAACAGGTCAGCTATGAGCGCTCTTCCTCGACCAGCAAGGAAAGCCGTGTCTGCATTCTGATCCATTCCGAAGAGTTCAGGCGCATCAGCAGCAGGTAGACCTTCAATGTACTCACAGCACACTGACAAAGAGATTTCAGGGGGAGGTGGACGGTACACCTAAAATGAATCGGAAACGATATCACTCTCAAGTGGTTGAGCTGTAGTTCAACCAGCACCCCTCCCCTCCTCAGTTCTCATCACTTTTCAAAAGGAAGGATCGGTGAGTAACAAACGCGGTTCTTTTTTATGATTTGAATAGAAAGCCTGCCCCTTCATGACGTGATATTCAACTCCCTAAAGTTCTATATAGAATATCAAGCCCTTTAACTCATTCTCATCCAACACCATTTGTAAAACGTCCTTAACAGATCAGGAAATAGGAGGAAATTACGGCCTTAAAAAAAATTAGGCTAATAAATTTCTCATAAAAAAAGAAAGCTTGTGAATGCAGAATTGTTTCCAGTTTTGGGTGGGGGGGACAGCGGCAAATTGAAATGAGATCGGCTACGCAGGCTGTAAAGACTAAGTCATAAAAATAATGAAAAGTGAAAAAAATTTGAGGTATTCCTTTTCAAAAACAAAAATTTTCATCATTCTCCAGGCCTACATTGTCCAGGCCTCTGATATATTTCCACGAGTAGAGAGACATGGTAAATTTTCATTGCGAACTCCTAATATTGACATTATCTAAAAGACTTAAATTATCCAGTAAACCGCGCTTACATAATCGACAGTGTAACCATAGCTCTCTTGTAAGGCCAAAGGAGTGTAAAACTTTCCCAGGATACTCTGCAAGCATCGCTGGTCCCAGTTGTCTGTGACTCGGCCCCCATACACAATCTCCCCCGTCAGATATCTGATGGCTTTCCACGGCACGTCGTGATGCTCGGTTAGTAACATGTGTAGCATCAAAATCGACACCTATTGTAGCGTAAAAAAGAGTAACTGCTTTAGCCCTGTAAGAAAATCGGAAAATTCCGGCGCAGGGGAGAAAAAGAAAAAAACAAAAAAAGACAAATTGCAGTGGTCCGTACTAAACTTCAAAACAAGGGCTTGCGAAATTTTAAGTTCAAACAAGTTTTTTTCGCTTATTCGAACTGTTTAAGGAACAAGAAATACTTGTTGCGCTTGACTAGACAATAATTCTAACATTAAATCAATATGAATCAACATATAACTTTAGTCAAGAGATAATACCTCAAGGTCCGAGGCGGTGAATTCATACGGAATATTCCACCCCAAGGCTCCAAACTTCTTCCTCTCGTGCACGACGGCATTAAAGAAACACAAACCAAACACAAGTCTCTTCCAACTAGGCCCAGGCCCTGTGTCCTCCCACATAGACTCGGTCACCACCCCACCCACTCCCCCTAAAGATCGAAGCAAGTTGGCTTTGATTCCTGGGGGAGGTTCCACCGTCATCTGCAAGAACAAGTGAATGACATGTTTCGTGCATGCTCAATAAAAGAGTGATAAAACAAGGGAAGATTGGCCTAAGAGACCTAATTCCCACGTGGACATTGCCTTATGGTCACCCCGACAAGTTAATTCAGATCACTTCCCTTTTCGGAGATCCTAGGAGGATTTAGAGCGAGCCAATCCCGTATCCGTTTTCCGAGATCCCACGAGGATTCAGTACTAACTAACACAACGTCGCAAATTATTCTCACGGGTCATCCCATGCCGTGTCTAGCCACTCTTAACGACAAGAAAAAACTAGCAAGCTAGCAACATGTAACATCACTTATCATTATCGCTTTACGTTTGTGTCTAACAAATTTTTAGAGGGATTGTCCTACGGAAACAGCGAGTCAGAACAAAGCCATGAACCAACGCGGAAAACGCGGGGCAAAATTTAAAGGCCTTACCATATTCGTCCGCGCTATACCTTCCCAAAAATATAGAATGGCACCATAAAGTCTCATATATGTCTATGACTGCTTATAGCAACATGCTGGAAATGCTAGAAATGCTGATGAGTACCTTGAGTCCAGCTTGTAGGATGGACACTGGAAACGAGGGGTCTGGTTTGGAGCTCAGCCACATCCGGAAATTCGGATGCACATTTGTTTCAGGATGTGATATCCTAAGGATAAGGATAGTGTAAGTTTTAATCAACAGTAAAACAAAACTCTCGAACGTGATTGGCTACCAATAGCCCGATTTGAGCATCAACGGGATAGTGTAAGCGTCATGTTCGTCACTAAATAGTTAACGTGCCGGGCTTGTGTGGGACAGATAACGCGCGGGGCTTGTGTACTAGGACTGTACACGTGGGACATTTAACGCGCGGGGCTTGTGTACTAGGACTGTACACGTAGGACAGTTAAGGCGCGAGGCATGTGTACTGGGACTGTACAGGTGGAACAGATAACGCGCGGGTCTGCATAATTGGACAGTACGCGTTGGACATTTAACGGGGACTATGTGATAAGACAGTACGCGTTGTTGGACAGCAAGCGTTATTTGCGCGCCAGTTTAAATTAACAGCGTTCATTTCATTTCGGCAAAAAGTCAACAGTAACAGAGCACATTGGACTCCAGTCCTATTGCCATAACTAAATTCCCTTTAGACGGTTTGATTTTTTTTAAAAATCATGGACTAGAATTCAATTCTCCTGAGCTCACTTAACACGCACTGAATAATACTTTCAAGGTGTCATCAGGGAAACCAAGTTTGCAAAAGCGGTAGAAGTTTTAAAGATCACAAGAAAAGGTTTGGTAATTTTTAAAAAACAGTGAGGTCACGAGGAGGCAGTGTAACTCTCTTTACTCCTCTCGTTACCAGACCCCCCTCACTCACCTTCCCATGATGACTTTAGGTCGCACGACTAACAAACTGACGCAATAACAACCTACACTCTGCCCTACCCTCACCAACATATAGCAAAATGACACGATTTAATTTCTCCTCCCCTGACTCTCTTTGTCATGCGACCCTCTCCTCACTTCCCTCACCTTCTCACGATCATCTGAAGTCGTGGCATAAATGAGGCTGCATGGTGGCAATTCTGTAAGAAAACCCACTTTCCTTTCTGTTGGTAGGCTTTCGTGATTGCCTCTTCAGCTCTGGGGCCCTGACCCCTTCCTAATGAGATTATGTCTAGATGTAATGAAGTCCCTCGAGTCTCTCGCGCAAACCGCATGAGCTGCGATGTTGGATCTGAACCTTTGAAAAAAAGATAATAACAAGACGGTTTGATAAGTAGTCACAAGAACAGGGCAATATAGAGAACTGTGTCTCTGTTTTAAGACAACAAAGTATCAGAAATTTAGGAAAAAGATCACATATTGCCTCACGATAACAATTTTCAATGATAGACGGAAAAGAACAATTCTGGTGTCGATAAAAAATTCGAAACTCCATGCTCATAACGGTTTTCCGATGTAATCATTATAATAATCTCGATGCTCGATGGCACAATATCTCTAAACGTGCCATACACCATGAACAAAGATGCTGAAATTCTGTTCTCTTTTGAGCGAGAAGGGGGGGGAGGAGAGACACCTGCGATGGAAAAGCATCCCATCCAGGATTAGTAGCATTACTCCTGGGTGGATGGGCCACCTGCCTCGAGAACAGACTAACTCACGTCATAACATAAATAGGATTTAGCAGTGAGTATTACACTCGGGGGCTCTTCTTTTCCACCTTTCCAGGTTAAATTGGAACTTAGAATGTTGGTTTTTGTGGAGGAAGAAAAACCGGAGGACCCAGAGTAAAACTCTCGGAGCAAGGACGGGAACCAACAACAAAGTCAACCCACATGCGACACTAGTTTCCGGGAATCGAACCCGGGCGACAGCGGTGGGAGGCGAGCGCTCTCACCACTGTGCCATCCCTGCTCCTCTGCTCTCATGCTGTGGTACTTTTTCAACAGCGCAGTGGCACTAACCTGGAGACAAGATAAAAATGAGTGGTTTCCTACTACTGGACTCTTCAAACACTTCTTGTAGATCAAACCCAAAGCTCGTGACAAACTTAGGCCCCATCTGTTGTTCCACAAATAGTCTGACAGAATCGACAAGACACTCGGGCCGCAGTACCTTGACGATGATAAGACGCTGAAACCTGGAGAGACTGGATACGTTCCAGCCGAGCTGAGGAGAGTGGTGATCCGTATCTGTAAAACAAGTTAAACCAAATTTTCAGCCCACCGTGGGAGACCCCGCTCAGCAGTTAGAAAAAGTGTCTGCCTATAAATGGTAATAATCTATAGAAGCTTAACCCCTTAACCCCAAAGAGTGACCGGCGTCTCTTTCTTTCTCTTCATAGTGTTACTCCGCTGTATACGTGGGCTTAAAAAAACTGCGTAACAAAGAAAACCATCTCAAAAGGACGTGAAAATTTAGTCACAACTCCATACTATCTGTAATTCGCAACACAAAATTGCGTGACACCGACACTGAAAATATACATACGTGACGTAACTCCACATACCTTCTGTTAAGGTAGCCTTCGTATTCTCGAGCTTTTGCTCATTTTCAATGAACTTGAATGGATTCTCGCTCGCGGCGAACTTGCTCCAGAAGGCACCATTCACTGCAATGTTACTACAGAGGCCAGCAAAGGCCGGAATGGAGGCTGACAGCTGAAGACATTCCTTCCAGGTAGACTCAGTTATCCACTTGGCTGGGGATTTGTTCATTTTCGACATGTATTGACCCAGGCTTCCCGCGACTGTCGTCTGACTTCCTGTGAAAATCATGAAATTTTCAATACATTTACTTCAGAAAAGTCCGATTACTATGTTTAAAAAATAACGCCATTAAAGGTTGGGACACTTCTTCGACAGACACTCGGTCAGGTCGTGACAAGGATGGATATGACGTTAATTTTTTTTCAGGCACCAGCAAAATTTCATCACCCAGAAAATTCAGTTTCGAGGAGCATGACCCTACATTGAAAAATAACGAATAGAATGATCACGTTTACTAGCTGACTCCCTTGCTGAGCTCCATCATCGCAAGCGGTAACGCAGAAAAAGAGCGTTATCGCAGGTTACAAGGTTTCTTATTCATAAAAACCTAAAATTGAATCTCTTCTACGCAGACTGTCAGAGGATCAAGACCCTAACAGATAATTTCCATTGTAATACGTTGGCCATTATTCTTTACGAGTTTTGAAATCACCGTTCGTCTTCCACTTCCAAGTCGATATCGATTTTGAAAGAGAAGTTAACTCTCCCATTCCCAAGAGAGATCCAAATTAAATTCTCCTGACAATGTGAATGCTAAGTTCTCAGAGCTAACATTACAAGTTATGTATGGCAAACAGTTAGGAGAATTTAGATCGTGAGGATTAATGGGTTAAAACAGGTACTCACCCTTCCAAGAGATATTCAACTCTTCTTCACTCTCGAGTCTGTCTGTTATGGCAGCGACCGCTGATCCACGCAAAAACCAATTCCACTCTTCCTCGTCGATGGTTTTGTCCCGTGATGTAGCCATACTATGACGCATGATTCCCGCGCATAACATAAAAGAAAACGTGAGTTTGTGACACGCAAATAGTGCGTACGAAACCACCCGATAGACACTCTCTGTTAGAAGCTCTACCAAGGCTTGGAGATATTGCGGCAACGAAGTTTCATCTTTCGGCCTGTGGACAGTTATTCGACGTTTAAACACGGGTCGACTCGCACTTGATACAGCAAGTTTATCCTTTCGTATGGGTCGAAGCGTACCTGCGCTACCAGGCCTTATGGGTGACTCACTTCTCGCAGTCTGTGCTGGCTCCTGAGCGGACTCAATGCAGCCGTCAAAGAGATCTGTAAACCAGGGCAGAGAAAACTGGTACATAACATCCACGTAAGCTAAATCTGTGAGAACAAAATACAACACCGCACCCCGCGTGGCCACTGGAAGGTATTTCTCTCGACTGAGGTTAATCTTCTCCTTGGTCTCTTCTGATTGGACGACACGCGTGTGAATAACATTCGCCACTTTCTTGCTGTCATCCAAAGTGGAGATAAGATCTTCGTCGTCCAGGATGTTACCACGTGACTGGTGAAGCAGAGACAGTGATCGATCTTCCAATTCTCTTAACTTGTAGCGATCCGTTACCAAGCCATGAAGTAACTCTTTGCTACTCTCCTCTAGCTTTGGTCTTTCCCTTTGGACCACGCGTGACAGCAACTGGTCCTGCAATCCATCTAGCGTGACAGTGAAGTTTATCACCGTGACTTTAATGCACACTTCCGGTAGAAAGTGCGGGTTTGCCAGGGGTGTGGTCATGTATAACCGGAAGTTGCTGTTGTATTCGATCTCGGAGTCACCGATTATCATCATTTCCTGATTACCTCGTGTAATAGTATTTTTGCTCAGGATTGGGTTAAGTGATGGGTCCAAGTGTTCGCCCAAATCCTGCAAAATCGAAAAACGTGTCTGTAACTGTAATGGCCATGTTTGAATTGGAGTCAGAGTTAACGGTGGGGGAAGGGGCCGGGAAAGGCGAAAAGCGCGTATTATTCATTGCCCCATCCTCCCCTCTCCTTCTTTTCGACCGTCCCTCACCCCCTTGGTACTAATTTCTTTCTCTTCCCAACCCTCCGCTATTGTAAAAATCAAAGATGGCAGCTATGATTTTGACCAAGATAATACCGAGCACTCGTCCGTCCGTCATAGTGCTGGATTTCGGTTTCATATCTGATTGGTTTAGTGAGTGGCAGCAATGTTTTCAAGCTCGTCATGGAGCGCGGTAAACTGAGATCAAAGCGAACCTTTCTCACCATCGATACTCAATTGAAAATAACTCTTACTACTTACCTCAACCAGAACCGGTTGTCCTAACGGTATGGCGCTCTCTAATGTCCTGAGATAGGCTGGATCCGAGGCCTTGACAATCTTGAGCCCGTTATCTTTTTCAGTCCGCGTGATCCACTTAGACGCTTGCTCCTGCGGATCGATCAAGAGTGGCCAGCGGCGACAATGCTTCATGAGTACAGCATTCTCAATGGAGTGTTTATCGTGGGGTAGCCCATCATTCAACCAAGTTTGAACTTCGACCGGCTCAGACAGAAACTCTGTTAGTTCAAAATTTTCCGACACTGGGATGTTCTCCGCTTTGCAGAGCTGCAGCCAGTGCGAGAGAAGCCGGTGCCTGTAGGATGACGTGAAGGCACCTAGGTAAGCCACCGCTGCAGAGGACACCAGTGTATCGCCAATAAGACCGTGGGCGCGTTCCTCCTGAGAGCTCACCGAGTTGCTCCAGCGAACCTATGAAAAGGTCTCATGCGATGAGCATACAAATGCATCTCGATTTGAGACCGCAAGATTTTGAGTTCCGCGAGAATGAAGTCATGTTAAGTGGAAGACGCGTTGGTCTGGGGGTTAGCGCGCAATACCCGAGAAAGAAAAAGTGGGTTTAACTGAACCATGGCCAGGTTACTTTGTTGCGTTCTTATGCAAGCTGGGCTGGCAAGACGCTTAGCCCCAACAATACCTCCCTTATTTCAGTGCAACAAGACTGGGGAGAGCCAGTTAAATTTTAACACGTATTTCGACCAAGTAACGTAAAAGCAAACCCGAAGAAATCAAAACAGCCAATCAAAACAGCAATCAAAACAGCCAATCAAAATTGACAGAAGGAGCCTATGAGAACTTAAAGTAAAAACAAGAAAACTACCCGAAGCGTGGGAAAACGCGATCGATCAAGTCGTGATTGGAGCTAAGCTTTGAATCTGACTGTTTGAGGAAGTGTTGCGTGTTTCTGGACCAATCGCCGAGCGACGTTGAGCCAATCAAGGCAATGCCGTTTTGCTTTGGACACTCACGTCAATATTTCACTGAGGTGTTAATTAGTTCAACAAAGAAGAAATGCAGAAGTAACAAAACATTGCCTTCGAAATGCCACTTCGAAAGACTGGCATCCTAAACTACAGGAGAGTCCCTAAGTTTTTTTCTCATCGTACCTGCTCTTCGGCCAAGGCTGCAGTAAGAACTGAAGCCCTCTTCAGCCTCACAATAGTAAGCTCCTTCTTCTGTTTGAGTTCCTCCAGCTGTGTCACACTGCTATCATATTGTTGCTTAAGAAGCTGAAGCTGTTCCTGGATTTTCAGCAGACTTAGCTAAAAGGCAGAAAAACCAGCTTTTAACCACACGTATAGATTACTAAAGAAACATCCGATACATCTCTAACTTCTCTATACCTTGTTCCGTAAGAGCCTTGAAAAGCCCTCGGGAAGGTAGCTCATTAGTTACCCGGGTTTTCTGACGGGTGGGGTAGGGCTTATCTCATAGTGGGGAGGGAGAGGGCCTCTAAATAAAACTCACTTGGGCCAAAACGCAAGTCATTATTTCTCTTGTGCTTTGTGGCCCAGATTTATTGACTAACATACAAAGTGAGCATTTCTTCGGTTGTAAACCTAAATTATTCGAAAAAAAAAACCGTTTGAATCGTTTTTGCACTACCATAAAGAGGGAAAGCTAGTGAATTCGCCCCACTGCAAGTTCGACCCCTAACGTATGACGGGTTCGCCCGAAAATCTTTCGACCCATTTTCCTAACACAGAACGTACTCATTTCCTGTTGAGTTAACTCGCAAAGGTGGTGAGGGGCAAACATGCAATGGGGCGCATTCGCCATAAACCAAAAGAAGGCAGAGGAATTCAGGAATGCACGTTTCTCATACCTGCTTCTGTTCTAAATTTTCTTTGGCGATTGCCAGAGCAGCTTGTGCTTCTTCGCATCTTCTCTGTTTGGGTTCCACGATCTTGTACACCTCAGCGTAATTCTCCAGCGCCAGCACCCACTGACACATGGATTTACAAGCCACCGATATCTTACCAACAGCCTCTGGGTTAAACTCCGGATGCTGAGTGTATCGTTTGAGGCGCGTGAAGACCTGGTGTAAGGAAAGAATTTGTCGACTAAAAAACGGCAAGGACACATAAAAAGGGCTGTAATCGAGCCAAGAGAACAGTCCAACTAGAGCTTATCCCGGTTTCCACAGCATGAAGCGAAGTATCATCATTCCCCCCTCGATGGGATGCTAGCCGATCCCAAGGTTACCCCCCAGCATTTCATTAGACTTCCCTGATAATTCGCCGGTACCCATTTTAACTCCTGGATGGGGGGCACAATGACCAGGCCAGGCACACAACACACAGCGCAATTATCAGGCCAGGTCTCGAACCAGGACCGCTCGACCTGGAGTCCAGACTACTGACTGTGAAACCACAGCGTCCCCTCTAGCCGGTAGGAGTAGGCCCTAGACTATCAAGAACCGTTCATGGTTCATCTTTAAGTTAAGTGCTTAGCTGTCAGGCCTTTGAACGACAGTGACGGTAAGGGTGACGTTACTATGATACAGATACTGCTATTCTTCATAAGCAAATCAATGTAAGTTACTGTGGTCATGTTCACTAGTTTCTCGTCTATATCACAAAAAAAGGTCACTCTCGACCTTATGTATCAATAGACATACAAGGCTAGATGTCCTGAAGGTGTTTTCTAATTTAATAGTCATAATGCAACAACGTTCTTAAAAGCACTGTAAACGTGAACGCGTGTTGCGATCACACGCTTTGCATTGAGTAATAAACCACTACCCACCAGTTATATTAAGCGCTCAACTTTTCAAGGGTACTGCGCATGTCCCAAACTAACAAGCCAAACAATGCAAACGACACTACCTGCTAATTACATGAAGACCTCAAATTCTTAGACACACCCTTCCTGTCTCAAATAACAAGTCGAAAATTACACAGAACACTATCCACCAGTTACATGAAGAGCTCACCTTCTCGGGGACACTGTTCTTGTCATAGCCAACAAGTTTTTTCAAGAATCCCTGATCACCAAGCAGCAGTTTAGCCGAATTCCAGTCTGGTTTCTGCTGCAGCAGGACACAAACTGCCGACAGCACCGTCATCACCATCGTAGGAGGTTTGGTGTACACTCGGATCTCGGAAATGTCAGATTTATCCAGAGAGTCCAGAGCCACAATAGCTGCCTCCAGTTGTGGTAAGGCTCCTTCTAGGTCCCTCTGAGCTTCCTCCGCTATCGCCTGCACTCTAAGGGCTTCCTCATTCATGATTTCTTCCTCTTTTTGTACCACACTGTGTACTTGATCCACTGCTTCCTGGTCGCAGGCGAGCTGTTCAAGAAGCTTTTCTGCGTCCTGTTCATGACACCAAGAAACGAAATAAAGAAATATGTTTTTCTGTCTCGTCACGAACTTACTTGGTTCACTAAATGTGATACGAGTTCTCATATTGCTGGGATCAACAAAGTCAAAGCTTTGTGTGTGTAAATAAAGTAAGTGAGATGGTAAAAAGAGATGATATACTCAGAAGACGCATCCGTCTAAAAGAGAAAAGGAGAGAAGAAAGGTAGAATGAAAGACAGGAAGGTGAGAATGGAATGGCAAACTCGTTAACGATTGAAAGAGATAAAAAGAACAAAACAGAGATAAAACAAATGACGGACACACAGACACACTGAAACAGACAGACACAAGAAAACATGCAGAAAAAAAGGAAGGAAAGGACGAAGCAATATACTACCCACGCACTTTAGCGCACGCATCGAAACAAACAAAACAAACAAACAAACAAAATTGAAAACCTCGGAAGATTACATACCTTAGCTTTGTTCTCGAGTTTAGGCCCTAATTGTAACAACTCAGTTTGCATTGTGCCCACCAGTTCATTAGACTCTGACAGCTTTTGCAAACCAGTACACAATCTATCGCGGTTAAAACTCAGTTCAGCTCGCTTGTCGTTTAATTTACTCAGGTACAAGCGAACAAACTCCATGTAACTTGTCGGAGTCGTGTAATATCGTCGGCGCAACTCTTCATAAAACTTCTGCGTCTCCTGTTCAACGCTATTGAAAACTTCAACAAAGACTTTAGAAACACTTTCCAGTAGAGCCTCACTCGACTCTGGATCTTTCCCCAGTTCTGAAAGCTCCAGAAAAGACACGGCCACTGACTGAAGCGCATCCAAAGGCCATTTGTCAAACCAGTCAATTGTACAACAGTTTATGAGGGGTGGGTACAGGCGGCAACGCCGCCGAAAACTGGATCCCGCGGGGGTGGTGGAGAGGACCAAGTGTAGCTTCTGCTTGACGCGTTCAAGGAAGAACCGAAAGATGGCTTCTTTCGTATCTGAAACGCCTTGAAGTATCGCATCTCTTCTTAGATCCAAAGAGATACGCTCAAGGTCTTCATGGTCGAAAAGGCTGGCTATATCAGCTCCAGCTAGGATACTCGTCACATCTTCAAGGAGCTCGTCCTACAAGGAAGTCACATCACAGAGTAAATCTCATTCCATACGAGTGGAATCAGAACTAAACAGTAAGGCACCAGTAAACCACATCACCTCCATTAAATTGATGCTACTTTTACTCTGATTCCAAAAACCCATACCCTCTAAGCAGAGAACAAAACACCCCGGGTGTCGACGTGAATATTGTGGTATCGGGTTGTGTGGGGTGTGGTAAATTTGGTAAATTTGGTAAATTGTTCTCCAAAGAGTTTGTACCCCCCCCCCCCTCAACTGAAAAACACAATGGTGGTCTCTTGAATTTGGCAAAAGGTCTCAAAATCGAGCAAAAGAAATGTAGCTGTTTTCAAAGAAAGAATAATCGACTGACCTTAACCAAATTGTCTGACAGAAAAAGCACAGTGTTCTTTCCCTTTACTCCGGCCACGACACAAGCTTTTTTCACATCGTCTCTGAACTCCGATAAGTTGTATACTCGTGAGACATGAGGTCTCAAGAACACGCAGTCTTCAATAAACGCTGCTAGCTTAGCAACCGTGGCTTTGCCGGTACCCCCAACCCCGACCATCTGCATGTGTTTCCCAGGCTGACGGAAAACACGTGCCGCCCGTGTCACGTGCTGTACTGCCATGTCGAAGAAAACAAAACGATGCTCCACACTCCCCCCTGATAGGTTGGCTTTGTCGTAGTATTCCTGGCAAAGAAGAACACTCCATCAGTCAAAGACTGTTCAATGAGGTGGTTGTAGTTTTCAATTAACCCTTCAGCTCCCAAGATCCACTTAACAATTCTTCCTTCTAACTGCTATACTTTTCCTCATAAAACAACACATGAAAATATGGTCTCATTCCAAAATAACGCCCTCCAGTTGATAAGATTTTCTGCTCTCATAACCTTTTTACAAGATAACTGATTAGAATTGTACGGAAAAGTTACATTTAAATCACTTCTGACAGTTTAAGGGTTAAGGCCACGAGTGGAAATCATCAGTCTGTCAGAGAAAGGAGCTCAAGCTTATCTGAATATGAACGATCTTTTTTTCTCGATTGTCCCAATCTGTATGTATAATGCCTTGGGAAAACACTAATACTCAAGTTTTCCTCAAAACACTTACGCCTTGAAACAAATAACACATCCCTCACTCATCACGACTGTTTGAAGTTCTGTTTGCTTCTTTTCGATTAACTCCCAAAATCTGGTTGTTAATTCTCCCCTCTAGCTGCTTCACCGTGATTTCCTTGCAAATTAGTCATCAGAAGTTGGTGACATTTTTAGAATGTCATTTTTATCACTGGGTCCATCACCATTAAAAGTCCATCACATTGATACAGTGTTAGTGTAACTGTAATAGTCCATTCACTGATATGACGAAAGGTTTCGACAAGTAACTAGAATTGTATTCTACCAAATAGTACAGTTGAAATACACTGTAACAAGTTAGCAACCCCTTCCTGATAATTTTGAGTATCCTTATTACCTGTTTCCGGGATAATGTATGAATATTATAGGGGGATATTATATTTATTACTTCTGGAAGTTAAAGGGTTCAAAGCGAAACCCACCTCTAAGATCTGAGGCAATCGATCATATTGGCGCACAGAGCGATACACTCGAGGGCTGTGTGGTTCACTTCCTTCCAGAAAATCCCCAAAGATCAACGGCCTTTTTTCCAGTTCCTCAGCACTCCAGCGTGTCTTGAACCCATTGCGGAGCTGTTCCGACAACACTCTGTAGAAGTATCGTCGGTCAGCATCGTTCGTGAGCCGATCGTGCAACACTCGTGAGGCTTCGTGGCCGAGCAACTGAGCGCAGTGGTCACGTGATGTGATGACGGATGGGTGGGCTTGTAACAAGCTTTCTATAACCTGTAAATAATACGACGAGAGTTCAAGGCAAAAAAACTTAATTAAGTCAGCGCAAAGTCAAGAGCTTTTCAGTCACGTACAATACCGTTACATAATATAACGGGTAGTTAAAGCAAAACTTAAGTGTCCACAAAGACCAGTCGGAAAATTCAATGAAGTAATTTAGGGATCTTATTAGAGCTTACTGGAAATACCTTGAAGACTTGAGGCGGAGAAAAACGACGGTGGCTCTCATAGACGCTGCGACAAGAAAGGAAAGCCTAGCACAGGCAACTAAGCGGTCAAATTGGTGCGCGGCCGGCCAAAATCGATTCTTCCGTAAATGCCGTCGTTTGACCGCTTCATTCCTGTCGTACCGCCTATGAGAGCCTGATCACTGGATAATTCACAATTGATTCTAGTTTTGCATGTGATTTTCTGAGAGACCAAGAGAACGAAACGAGTTTTCTGGACCAATCACAGAGCGTATTCACCTGAAACCTTTGCTATCCCGTCATGATTTTCTTTAAAAAAAATAACATTTAATTGAATAACGATATGTGCTTCATTCACTTACTTTATTTAAGTCGCGCAGATTGAAAGTATAATGTGACTTAGCTGGGGTGGGGAGGAGGTTGGCACTAAGATCAAAGTACAGCCCCATAGCAACAGTCACCATAACCTCACAGGCGTCCCGCACATCAGGTACAAAGTCGGCTTTTTCCAAAAAGCGTCCAAGCTGTGTGACGTAGATATGATGCAGCCACTTGGAGTCAGGATGAGGAAGATAAAGCACACTAGGAAATAAAAGGATGTCCTCCAATCCATGATATAACAAGTACAAGGTCTTGCGGAATGGGAGAAGGGGGGCAAGAAATCACGAATTCGAAAGAAAAATCAAGAGGGCGGGAGGGAAGACAAGAAAAGCACCCCTAGGGGCTTATATCAAGGGACATTTTATTTAAAATACGATGGGTAGTCAGATTCATTGTAAAAATTTCCCATTGCACGTGGAAGTAGAATGAAAAAAAAAATAGCATGGACTGACTGATCCCTAAATCCATAATCTCCTGATAAGAGCCAATCTAAATGGAGTGTTGAAAGTAATCCAGGATTGCTTAAGTTTTTTGACTTCGCCTTTTTTCACTCCAGTTCTCATTAACTACTTCTTCTTTGTTCTGAGTGGCTGTTGTAATTACTTTGTGTTTGGTTTAACGAAACTCGATCGAAATCTGATCGAAACCGCCCTAGGCAATTCTCTGATTACACACCCTACCTGAAATGCCTCAGCAGCCGACCATTAATAGCACTTCTTCCTCCCCCTGGGGGAGCACAAGCCGCTAATAGTGTGACGTCATGAACCTCCTTCCACTGAAGCTTTGTAGAGTCATAGAAACCTTGAGAGTCAAGGAACTGACGGAGCAACTCCAGAGGGGGCTGGGACTGGAACGCATCGGGTTGAGGTAGATTGATGTCGTCAACAAAGAGAAGAACCTATCGTAATAGGCAAAACCATTTATCAAATAACTTGCTTTTGCTACGAGAATGGCGAATAGTAAGGAAGAGGCATAACTGAACTTGTGTTGCGGAGGGTATATCTGTGGCTCTCTGAACACTGCCTTCAACAGGTGACGGTACAACCAAGAGAATAATCAAGCCTTAATTTCAATCAAACGAACTATCAGCGCGCTCCAAGACAAAGGTAAATTTCTTTGGTTGTTCGAACGTTACCTTACATTTCCCACTTCCCTTTATCTGCTGCACACTTAAGAGTGAAAAAGAAAGACAGTAGAAATTTCTAACAGACGAACCTTTTTTCCTGGTCTCGGTCCCAGGACGTCCCTTCCTCTCTTCACCAACTTCGATTCAATAAACTTCTGCGCCTTTGAAGAGCTTGTATAAGCCGAAAAAAGCGTGGAGTCGAACACCACCTCAGAACCACGCCCTACACTCTTCACCCCTTCAGAGGCTGTCATATCCATAATGCTATCAACCAAGTTCATCCCTCCTGTTCGAAACACTGCTCCTAAGATCGTTCCCGTGTTCGTTCCACTCCCACCCGATTGGGACAACCGGACCAACGTGTCCTGGATCAATGCACTTTTCCCAACACCGGTTTCTCCGGTTAGCAAAACCGGTTGTCCTTTTAACGCCATCAACGAGAGAAGAAACGCGTACCGGACTGTGTCAACGGTTGGAACAAGGGAACGATCGATCTCAAGCTGATTTTTCATGGGAGGGGGATCGTCTAGAGTGTTGAGAGTATCTGAGATGGCAAATTGATTAGACACGGCCTTGGCTATCAATGCGCGAGTCGAAGGAACGAGACTGCTCCACAGTATAAACTGTCCGCTCTCCATGTCAATGAAGTAATTAGCCATGCTGTCGTTTCCAGGGGGTAATCGAACACCGATCGGGGAGTCGATATCAAACAAATCACGAGTCATTGTATCAAACAATTCCCAAATTTGTGGACTGTCTTTTGCAAAGGTATCTCCACTTTCTTCATCATCGACAACTGATTCAAAACGAAGATTTCCCCCAAATGCCCACGTATATGCAAAAACATACACTTTTCCGAGAAAGCTTAAAAGCTGGGAAGGATTGCGTTGTATGAAAGACACTTTCCGAATAGGAATGATTTCTTGTTCGAAGTCATCGGCAAACGTGACGGCTTTAGCCGAAGTTGTTTCCGACAATTCTGCTCCATCTTCGACAGTACTCGGAGCTTCGCTAGCAGGGAAACCACCCTGGCTGTACATGATTTCTAAAAAACCGCTGATAATACTGCAGAGAGTGGAAACAATGCTAAGATCCGGTGCTATGATGTATTGTAGCTGGCTGTAGTTGGAAAGGAAGCGAAGTCCTGTGTCTACACTGTGTTCAAATAACTGGAGAAGATGATTGAATATCTCTCTGGGGAGCTGGTCAAAACAAAGAAAAACGCGTTAAACCAAACAAAACTTTAAAGAGAAAAATCCTATGATAAATAATTATCAATGAAGAAATATTCTCGCTGAAATCCACTTAGAAACAGACACTCTCTTTGTATAATTAAAATCTATCCAAGAGCGTAACCCTTTGGCCCCTAATTTGATAAGCACTTTACTTCTCCTTACAATGTCACCCATGAATCACGCATTAAGGTCATGAGAATAAAGGAAATGATCGCAAACTTAAGAACTGTTGATTGTTTGAAAAGTTCTCCTTGAGAATAGTATGAAGACTATGAGTGTTAAGGGTTAAACGGGAACCATTCAACTGCCAGCCTCCCCTCCTGTACTCTCTCTCACAATTCTCCAATCCCTAATTACAGACTATTCAACTGCCAGCCTCCCCTTCTGTACTCTCTCTCACAATTCTCCAATCCCTAATTACAGACAGAATGCAATTAGAGCGGACTACTCGGTCAGCCTGGGTTGAGTCATTAGCCTTACTAACCTCGCTTACGTGCGACTCAACCCAGGCCGACCGAGAAGTCTGCCCTATTCGTATTCGGTGTAAACTCTGAGGTGGCGAGGTAAAAGTAAAGCGCACGACCACAACTACTGCTGGCCGGGGCTAGACCCAGATCTCTCGATCCGGAGTCCCGGGCGTTAGCCGCTGTATCTCCCACTATGAGGACAACGAAAGTAACAGAAGTATCTCCAACAACTTTCTCTATGACATGAAATTAAAAGTTAATTTTAATTAGATATTGAGTACACAGTTTTTTTCGGTGAGTACACAGTTTTTTTTTGGTCCTTTAGTTAGTTTACCTTTGTTTGCTCCTTGAGCCTCTGAATCCATGTTTTAACGTACGGTCTCCAACCTAAATCCTTAGGTTCCTGGAAACAATTCAGAAGTTTTGAATGAGCGCATGGGAAAGATGTTCATTCTAAATTGTTTCGACGCTAATATTAAATCATTTATCGTCAGTCACGAGTTCAGTATTGACGGCAGGCCATATCTGATTATCTTCAAAGTAGCTGTGAATCAGAGTTGCAAGTTGTTCGGAAGCTATGTTAATCGTAAGAAGAAAGAAGTAGATTTTTTACCATGTATACCATTCCGCAACGACTGACTGTAGCAGGAGACGCCATGGCCAGATTGTCAACCTCAAATAAAATCCTCATCCCGTGACCCATTTCTATCCTCTCTCCATTGGCAAGACACAACACCTGTCACGCAATAGGAAATGCTCAATTCAGTTTAATGTCACGCAATGTTTGTAAGGTTCTTGTTCTTAAGGGGAAAACAGAGACACTGGGAACGAGGTTTCACTTATCACCTTTGTGTCATCTAATACGGTGTTGAGGTTTTCAATCCAGAGTGTATCCACAGGTCCGTCCATCACAATCCAGTGCCAAAAAATGGGCGTCTCCTCTCTGTTAATGTTACTGGCGTCTTCTGTCGCGGTCGCTGTTTCAACTGGCGAAGAAACAATTTGAGTGCTTTTCAAAAAAAGTATTCGAAAAATTTCCCTAACCTGGTGTAATGTTGTCTTAATAATTTCGAGCGTTTTTCAAACCAAAAGCAAAGTGAACATTACAGCCAATGAGAACAAGGCAAAATATCATGAGCCAATGAGATCTCGAAGTAAACACGTGCATTCCTTGGAAGCACGGTAAAATCCGGGTAACCGAGTCCCTTTTTACGTCTGATTGGATGAGGGGCTGGTGCGAGTTTTCTCAACCAAACTTAAGAGCTCCTCCTGTAAATGGATCATAAACATGCGACGATTACAAAATGGTTCTTGATCCGGGTTCTTCTGAGGGTCGCTAGTTTTCTCACTGGTTTTACTTACGACTAGAGAGGTCGCTATTTTAAGAATGAAAAGTAGATGAATCTGAATTATGGGTTAAAGGTCACAAAAACAAAGTTCAGATGTGATGTTTACAGAGCAATTTTCAATTGAGTGTCAAAAATAATCCGAGACTGCTTTGGTATTGCTTTACTTCGCTCCGTGATTGGCCCAGAAAATTCCCGCCATTTTTTCAACCAATCAGAGGCACTTGGTCACTCACGCACTTCAGCGCGCTTCAAGTAGTTGAGTTCTCATTGGCTCTTTGAGGTATTTTCCTACCTTCTGATTGGCCGTTGTGATCATTATGGTTTTTTCTTATATGATACTCAATCGAAAAGCAATCTATCAGTCACAACAAGTTCATCGTAAAGCAAACTCTCACCTTCACTGTTCTCCTCACCGCTGATAGCCGACACACTAGTGACAGCAGACTTGGCCGATGAATTCCTTGATAATCTGAATGCGTTAGCAGGAGGTGTGCTCGACTGCTTTCGTCTGGTTCCTTGTAAGACTCCTCTACTATTCTTAGCATATTTACGGTAAATGTGAGACAAGAGGCCATCTTTCCATTCCATAGTCGTGGAATTCACCTCGCCATATAGCTCACCTACTGTCACGCACTTGGGGTTCAGAGTGGATACATAGACTGAGCCACGCCTCGCTTTGGCGGCGCGCTGAGATGAACAAAGAGACAAAACAACAGCATGAATTGATTTAAAAAGCATGGATTTTCTGGCATCATCAAGGTAAAGAAAAAAGTGGAATGAGTCATCGAACCAAACGGCTCATCTGGATCTGCGTCTCATTCACTCTCCGCTTAAAAGTATATCAACATTGTACGGAAACTGCTGCTGGGTATAAACGATAAAACTGACCTATAATGAAAATAAAACGCATGCAAATTCTCGTACCGCGTGAGATTGGGCTGTCTTTGACGATCCAGTCTCTTCAGGGTAGTCCCCAGTCCCTTTCATTTCCAGCTGTTCCCGCGCTTGAATGCTCGGCAATACGACCAGCGCGCGCTTCAGGATCTGACGCGTGGTGGTTTTTCCGCCACCAGCTGGTCCAACCAACATCACACCATGCCGCACTTGTAATGTGCTGTTCAACTGAATCACCTTGTCGATCTGCGAGGGCCAATACTGAATAGACAATTCGCCTAGGGCGGCCTTAGCAGCTTTCTGAAATAAGAAATCCAAAAGGTGTTGTCAAACCATAACTCAAAACTTTAAAACAATAATACCCTGCCTTCGGTGCTTACTCCAGATTGTGTCCACCACACAAATGAGTACTAGTTACGCTTGAAAATATAGAGAAATTTTACAGAGCTAAAGGACACTTCAATGAGACAAATTTCCCGCAAGGTTCACAGTAACTTTTTGCATAGGAAAACGGCCGTGTAGCGGAACCCAAACACGAAAGCCTAGGCGCGGGCGAAAGAGGTCTTATTGGCGACGTCGACCACCGGTAATCGACTTTTATTGAAAACTATGATTTGCGACGAACAGAATCGACTATGTAGGGGAAAAAAATCAACTAAATATACTTTGTTAAGTTAGAAAAGCAGAACGAACTATAAATAAATCAGAAGAGAACAAGGCTGGGTACAAACGATGACGACAGTTTGCGATCAATCCATTTAACCCTTTGACCCCTTAAATGATTAGCATCTAGTTTCTCATTACAATTTCACTACTGAATCATATATTAGGGTCACAAGAATTAAGTAAATGATCACCAACTAAAGATACTCTTGATTGTTTGACAAATTCTCCTTGTCAGCACCTTAGGAAATGTCTAGAGAACAGTATGGAGAATATGTATACTAATGTTAGGGTGTAAAGGGTTAACTTGGGAACTTTACGGCATATACTCAGTATTCTATTTTCACCTTCAGCAACTTGTTGTCCGGAACTGGTGGATCTAAACCAGGAAACAAGTCTGCCAAGATGCTCTTAAACAGTGGAACATCCTCTGCGACAAACTTGGGAATATTGGCGTCCTTCACTGCGTTTATAATCAGGTGTGATTCTTCCTCTTGCAATGTCTCAGACGCCATGTTAAGACTGAAAGAGATTAAGGAGGTATTATGAATCGAATCAGTCAGTCTCAACTTGTTTCTCTCTCGAAGTTTAGGATTTACCACATTGGAGTTGAGCCTGTCTGGAATAGCAATACGCTATTACCTTCTCTCCTAGCAATGATCGATTGATAAATTCTACTTTTATTTTTCATGCACCGTCAAGCGAACTGGTGGCGAAATTGATGAAACCATCGTCTCACAAATATTCCGGGTCTAGATTTATAATCTTATTTAAATGAAAAGCTCAAAAAGGTGTGCAAAGTAAACGCCTAGGAGAATTAAAACAAGTGTAGTTTTGCTCTGGTTTTGCTTTCCTTCGCTCTGTGATTGGTCCAATAAACCAACGCTCTTTCCTCGACCAATCAGATTCAAAGCTAAAACCAATCTCGACTTGGTCACCCGCGTTTTCCCGCGCTTTAGGCAGTTTGCTTGTTTTGACTTTGAGTTCTCATTGGTTCCTTGGGATATCACATTTTGTCCTGATTGGCTGATGAAATTATTTCAGCGTTAATTTAACGACACTTGATCGAAATGCGTTGTTAAGGATGCTAATTACCTTGCAGCCCTTCTGTGCTGTCCAGCCATTAGTAGAACTGATTTTATCGCTCGTAACCCAAAGTCATAGTGATCCTACGAGATGAGAAATAGCTCTTACATTGAAGTATCTCAAGAAACAAAGGCGAGTAAACAGTCAAAGGAAAGCCACTAAGTAGCAATTCCACGTAGTGCTATTCATTATGTTGCACGAGGTATTTAGTGTATAACAAGATGATTTGATTTAATTAGCTGAGTTGAGAATGGAAATTGGCCAACGCAAAGGGTTTCTCAAGCTCATATTTCGAGTGTTAGTTAGTTCGTTCGAATCCTAGTTTGAAATCACTCATATGAAAGCTATTGTCTACTTTCGTAATACATAGAACAAAATAAAAAACCGGCATAAAAGTTATATTTGTCCACTATCTGGAGTAACGTTAATCACCTTAGAACTTTGTTACCTGTTGAGAAAGCTGCTTGCTTGCTAGTTGATAAAGATTCACAACTTTTCCCGATAACAACGCAGCGGCAGTGAATCCTTCAGAAAACAGGATTATTTCGGCGATTAACGCATAGTCGGGTACCATCATAGCAACTGGACGGAATAAAGATTTCAAATTGTCTGGCAGCTCGACTCTACCCGCATATCTGAAAACAAAGAAACAATTCGAATTATTTCAGGTTCCAGAATTAGTTCAATTTACGAGATCCTTTACGATCAGCTTCAAATCATTAAGTAAAACCCTTCTTGAGTGAGCAATTTTCAATTGAGAGTCGGTAATCAGGCACTGCATTGGTTTTGCTTCGATTCGCTCTGTGATTGGTCCTGGAAACTCGCCCCTCTTTCTCAACCAATGAGATGCAAAACTTAAAACCAATCACGATTTGGTTGTCTGCGTTTTCCCGCGCTTTAAGTACTTTGCTTGTTTTTACCTTGAGTTCTTTAAGGTGTTTTTGTTTCTGTTTATTGGCTGTTGCGGTTCTTTTGGTTGACGTTTTACAACACTAAATTGGAATATGCTCTCTTGCTTACCCTGGATTCATTGTGATGAACATTCCACAATTTGTATTCAGCTTTATGTCCCGTCCCTCAAACAGAAACCTGTAAAACAAACGAGTTCACATATTAGATTAGAAAAGAGAAAAGGTGACAGGCCTCACCGCTATAATTTGGATTAAAAAATGCGTTTAATTACGAAATAAAACAAATTACTGGTGAAACAGAAAGTCTTTATTTTTCAGTTCACATCTTATAAATTTGCATCCTTATTGTGTTCTAAAGTCACAGCACACAGTGTCACAGCAAACTTTAAATCTGCCTGTTCCCTATGTGACACAGGGGGTTGAGAATCAATCAAAGACCTTATTCAAATCCAAGCACGTCTCCAAACGCCACAGCGGGTAAAATGGCGGAGCCATTTGATGTCATATGCAGTGCACCTGTCCAGCGGTGTGATAGAAAAACGGAATGGCGAGTTAGATAATAACCCACGATAGTAAAAATCTAAACTTCGCTTCAGTAAGTTAAAATGAAACTTATGCTAGCACTTTTAACAAAAATAACTGCTTTTTAATACAGTGGTCAAACGTCGGGAATGCGCCAGAGGATCAATTTTGGCCCACAAAAAAATAAAAAATTACAAAGGAAAACATAAGAAATAACCGCTCTCATGCCAAATATGCAAGTAAAAACATTGAAATCTGCAAAACAAAGCGTTGGGAAAAGGAAAACTCGAGACTATTGGTACAAAAAGCTTATTTAATTTCATCATGATTCACCATTTTGTTATGAACTTCACCAGAAAATTTCTACCTCTGTGGTTGTTTCTAGGAAAACTTGGTTTTGACACCCTGAAAGCAAACCCGCTAGCCTCTACAATGTGCAGAAGTTTGACGACCGTGTTCTGCTAATTTGACCTGCCTCACCTGGTAACGTTATTATCTTTAGCTGTTTTAATAGTGTGAAGCTGTTGAGCGATGACTGACAACACTTCTACATCGATACGATTGAATTCATCAAAACAGAACCACGATCCAGACTGAGCTAAACCGGAGAAAAACTTGCCCATCATCTAGTACACAAACAAACACAAAAAAATACAGTCATGAGGTGAAACCCTTTCAAGTTCAACATAAAATATGTCAATGTCTATTTTTATCACAAAAAGTGTATCATTAGCCTCGACGTTTTCAAGTTCATAATAGAGAACTTAAGTAGAAACGTTTTTAAACTACTCCTGGAGCGCTTTGACGCCAATGTATTGACCGTAAGGTCGTCGTTGAAGCATTTTAAACCAAAGTGTGCTGATTGAAAAGGCGTAATGAGCAGCAAGAATGAGAACCTTTAACTTCCTACTGCCGTCCGCGTCTCAAAAACGTTTGTGCGTAAGCTCCCATTTTCCAGTGTGCCTAGAGAATCAGGTTCTTTTCAGAGTCCTAACAGGCAGTTAGACAAAGTGTCACACTTACTGACGCGGAACATAAAGAAAGAAATTACGCTAAAGAAAACTTTAACGGTGTCACAACTACGATCGCGGATTATTTTTCAGTAAAAGAACGACTTTGGAGTGCAAGTATTCCTTTTCCCTATTTCCTCATTCCCGGGAATCCTCTGAGTCTCATCTACACGTGTCTTAAGAGAGCAACAAAATAAATACGTCTTCCCTCGTCGAATTAGGATGACATTTATTGAAACAATCTTTACGGCCAGTTGCAATTCTTTTCAAGACAAACGACAGCAAATTGCAGAGCACGTCATTTGAACAAGTAATCACTGAGAGATAATCCTCATTAGAACACTGAATATCTGGTTACCTTATAGTCAAGTCCTTCAGAACAGTTGAACACAAGACACTGCTTTCCCATGGCCTGAAAACCAAACATAACATGAGTGTGTCAGTTCACTGGAAAGACAGTTTTTCAGGAGAAATCATTCGCCATTACGCACAAGAGCAAAGGGGACAGAATGGGGCAAAGTATGAAAACCTAAGTCCCCATGAGGAATCAAACCTAAGACGACCTTTGGAGTTCGTGCCCCAATTCTCTCCCATTGGGCTTTAGAGAACTCTACGAAAGTTCACCCATTATTTGCTCCATACAAGACACGCGTCCTTAATTCTGAAAGGATTAGCAATGTCGAAAACCATGGAAATTTTGAGCTGATGATGATTGTAGAAAGGTGTTTTTTTTCGTCCTATGACGGGAATGAGACGAAACATTTTCTATATATATATTACTTGCCCCACCCTCGTTACGAGACAATACATCAGTATTCTTTACGAAAAGTAAGTACTTTTTAGTAAATACCTTGGCAAGATCCTTAACAGTCTCTGTTTTACCAGTCCCCGCCGGTCCGGCAGGAGCGCCATTAAGATGAAGATTGAGTGCTCCAGTCAGTGTCAGATAACATCTGTCAGTCAGTGGGGTAATGACCAGCCGAAGCGAACAGCCGAGATATTCATACCCATATTCAAACACTGCATTACTGTGACGGACCATACAGGCTTGCCGCTCGTCATTCCACTCGTAACGCAGTTGCCTACAAAATAAGAGCATTCCTGCCTGTTAGAGAGTTACTTCTACTTCAGTGGGCAAATAGGGGAGTGGTATTAGAGCTCTAAGTACCAAGGTATTTTAAGAGTCATTGCCAGATGGAGAGCATTGAGAGAGAATTTGCCGTTGAAAACCTTTCCGAAGACAATTTCGGTCTTTATGGCATGATAAGAAACTTTGATTAAGCATCAGCCTTCTTTTTTCCCACACCATTGTGTATGTGGATAGAATCCTGGGGGCGACAATTCACGCATAGAAATCGAGCGTGAATGATCTAGTTTGTTTAGGAGTACGTCTACTCGTTGTGCAAAATTTAACCACTCCACTGAATCATGTTTTAATTGAATAGAGCGCCTTTCGATTGCGTGTCCTAAAAACCAAAACCACAGTAATCACAAAAGCCAGTCTGAGGAAAGGAAAATATCCTGAAAAGCAAACGAGAACTTCAAGAAAAACCGACCAAACTGCCTAAAGTGCGGGAAAACGCGGGCGGCAAAGCCACGATTGGTTTTACTTTTGCATCTGATTGGTTGAGAGAGTGGGTGAGTTTTCTGGACCAATCACAGAGCGAAGTAAAGCGGAAAACAAAGAATTCCCGGGTTACTGTCGTCACTCAATTGAAAATTTCATTAATGACAGAAAAGGGCAAGTGCTATTTACTTTACTCCTCATCTACCACAGAAAAGATAGCGAGTTCTGTGTCAACTACTTTTTGACGGGTTGTAACAAATATTTGTGCCGCTACCTGGTCCACTGAAAATCCTCCATCTGATAGACCTGATTAGCAATCATGGAGTCTAGGACATCACGGGCATGCACTTCAATTGTTAACAGGGCCTCGAGTGTTTGGTGCTTGTGAGGAACTAGTGATGACGTTACCATCTGTGATAGACTGTGGAGGACTGAGACTAGTTTTTCTCTCTTGTTCTGAAGAGCTTCTTTGGGTCTTGTTGTACGGAAACACGTCAGTACGTCACGATTAAAGACAATTTGAGACTAGAATGAGAACAGAATTTGACATTTACCGATTTAATTTGATACTTAAAGAGATTAAAAATGCGCAAATATTTATTAAATTCATGCGTTGAAAAGTTTATCCATCAACCCGCCAATTGTGAATGAAAATTCGGGAGGGAAATACTGAAAATTCAGAAAGAGATTACCGATAAAACTTGTCAGGACGAGAGTGCATGTTAATCAATGTTGATATAACACGTTCTACTGGTGCGAAACGAGTTGAAAGACTTGAGGGCGAACTGGTAAAGGCGGGGTGGAGTTGTTTTATTACAGGTGGCAAACTCGCAAAGGTGGTAGAGAGACAAACTTGCAATAGGGCGAAAGAACATTTAGTACTTTTTGATATTGTGTTGAACTTAAACATCCCTGAATTTCAAGTCGAAGAAACTAAAAGGAGGAAAACTTGGAAAATAATAATATTCCCTTGTGTTTTAAGTTTATCACTTACTACAGTCAGTATTGCTTGTCCCGGATGAGCCAAAACCCACGCAGAATACTCTCTTGTACCATAATCCACTAAACACTTTTTTAAGTGCCTGTCGTATAAACAGAAAACAAACGTTGAAGCTATTCAGTTAAAAAAAAACGATCTGAGAAATGTGGTTATTTGGTATTATCACCTGAGCTGATAACGTAAATTGGCCACATCAGAGTGAACGACGAAGGGCTAACACTCGAAACATCAGCTTTGAAACTCTTCACAGTGGCCAACTCAGCTGATAATAGCAAATTACCCTGTTATACTCCCTCACTAACGCAGCACCACAGTTACTTTAGAAACTCATTCCCTTCATTCATCGATTTAAGAACTGACCTTGAACCTCTGGAACACAAACATAAATAGGAGACTGCCTGAGCATCACGCTACTAAAAAGGATACTTACATTTTGACAGTCTCATACATAGCAAGCTCGACATTGTACAGCCATGACTCCACGTTTCCTCTCGCTCTTAAAGTTCTATTGGAGGAAAAGAGAAGGCTGAGGTCAAAAGACGCCAAGCAGACAATAACAACCGGACACAACATTTTGGTAAAGTCATTAACTTGTGATTACAGAAGATTGAGTTCGATGTGTTTGAACGCAAGCCAGGAACAGTGGATCTAACAGATTAAGGCCAATCTTAATTGTTAATTCCACAAGAAATGAAACAAACAAAAAAGGCAATATCAAAAACTCGTTCCCACGGCTTTTCCCTAGAGCAAGGTTTGCCTAATCAGTGCAACGCCTTAGAACAAGCTTAAAGTAAACTGAAAAGGTTTGTTTTCTTACTTAGGCAGTAATACACTTTCCCCTTCCTCTGAAGTCATGTTCTGGATCTGCGCTGGCGAGTGTACTTGACGAACAATGCCCAGCTGATAAATGCTCCCAAAACACTTCCTCAGGTGAGGCTGTTGTAGAAAGAAAAAGGCAAAAAGAGAACAAAATTAGGTAGGTTTTTTTTAACAGCATCTGGCAGCCGTCAAAATTCTTGTATATATCTTACGTTTTCCATCTACAATTTGATTGAGACATTACCCAAGATTTTACAGCACGTCGACATACTTCAATTTAAAGGATACGAAGAATATGTTTAATCCTTTAACCCCTAAGAGTGACTAACATCTAATTTCTCCTTACAAAATCACCCCTGAATCAAACATTAAGGTCATGAGAATAAAGGAAATGATCACCAACTAAACTGGGAAGCTCTTGATTGTTCAACAAATTCTCCTCGTAAGAACCCTGGGAAATGTCTAGGGAGTAGTATGGAGAATATGCATACTGATGTTAGGGTGTAAAGGGTTAAGAGGGTCAAAACTTTTAAAATTATCACTTGGAGAACTCCCTGACCACCCCCCACCCCCCAAAGCTCATTCCTAAACTTTATCACCTACTCTGATTCTTACTGAAAACCCTTCTTCGGTTCCTGGGGAAAACAAAGGATTTGTCTATGTATATGATAGTTTACACACCTGAACAGCATTGGGGTTCTTGCTATTGGCCAAAATGTCAAGCAAGTCTTCATTGCTAAGGAAGTAAAATCTCGCAAACACCAGTCTCTTTGTTTCAAGGTAGTCCTTAACATTAAAAAAAAACCAGAAACATTACGTACAAATAATAAACACAAATACAGCGAAACATCTTTAAAGCACACGAAAGTCTCAAGAGCTCTTATGGGAGACGACTAAGCTCCCAATTCGTAAAAATAACAAAAAAGAAGTCGTCTTTTACAACGCTTCAACCTCCAAGGACTAAATCTAAATTCTCTCCACTCGGTTTGCCATACATGTCTTATGATTATAAACCTGGTAATTTGGTGTCAAATAAAAAAATCCCTACTCGAGTCTTTTCGAGCTTCTGATTACTATCTAATGTGAATTGTTGGCCATAAGAATATCACCGGTATTCTCACCGATGGATTATTTAAGAGTTATAATGTTTTTATTAAATCTACTATGGAAATTCACCTCTAAACATCTGTGAATTTTCTCTAAGTGAGAGTTACTTGCTTGCAATACCTCCAACACACCTAACAGTGGCCAAAATGCAAATGTACATGTATAAGTTAAGACTATCACATGATTAGTCACATGATTAGTCACATGATAGCTTTTATATTGAGTGGGAAGTTATAATTTGTTATTTTGTCGTTTTTATTAGGGTGGAATGGGTCATGCGTTCTTGTGAAATTTGAGTATGAGGATTCCTGCTTCTGATCTTCGATCCCGCTCTCCTACCCGCAACCGTATATGTACTTCGATTCAATTCTATTCCATATCCTGCCAACCTCTCTCAAAAAAGCAAAATTTCATGGTCATGGTCCATGATGCAACCCGACTACCAAGAGGCCAGTAAATTTCCAAAAATTTCTCATTCACAAAATATGAACAGATTATCATCATCACATGCACAATGGTTTAAATGTCGTGACACTTCTCATACATGGTATTATTTGAATCGTCATGCAACGCTCCTTCCTGGTGTGACGATCCGTACATCGTTTAGGCATGACCAGTCCTGAAAAAAAGCTCCCTGGCCAATCTAACATGGGATCAAAAGTGTCTTTTTGTCTTTTTTTTTTAACAATGATTGTCACCTGCAGCTGTTGAAGCCCTCAAAGCATTCGGTTTATCAGTAGTTCTTCTCATAATGTCTTTCCATGATTTGTCTACTTGGGCAAACAGGCGGGCTTCATTTGGCAGTTGCCTGTCAAAATAAAAAAGCATTTGGACTATGACTTAGCAAATTGGTTTTACTTCAAAAATGTTTTTGTCTTTCAAGCCAAAACATTAATCTATTTTTTTTTCAAAAATGTCCTTCCTCTTCACCTCTTTGATCACATTGTAGTTGAAAGTTACGGTATGTCGAAATGCATTCTTCCACTTTCGCAAAAATCGAAAAGCGGTCTAGAAGACAATTTTCCCACCTTTGAATGTCAGCCGCTGAAAAGATTGTCTCTAGATAGAGCCAGTTCCGCTGACAGAGAAGCCATTCATCCAATGTGCTGGCAAACAGTTTCAATTTTCTGTCCCATTCTTCAACCAAAGCCTACGAATATTTCAAAAAAGACACAAGTAACACATTCATCCTTTACCAACAATGTTCAGGTTCCTTCTGGAGCCACAAGAAATTCCTGAACCCTTGGAGTGACCAGCACCTAATTTCTCTTTACAATGTCACCCCTGAACGAAACACTAGTTCACGAGAAGAAAGGAAATGATCATTAACTAAATAAGCTATTGATTGTTAAACAAATTCTCCCTGTCTGCACCTTAGAAAATGAGTGAAGCATAGTATGAAGAATATACATACTGATGCTAGGGTGCAAAGGGTTAGGAGCTGCATGACTGGTTGAATAAGCGCTCTATAGACTTCTCGTCGGCCTTTTGACAGTCGTACTAAATGAATCGTTCCTTATTCCTTTACATCCTAATATCAGTATGCATATTCTCCATACTACTCTTTATACATTTCCTAAGGTGCTGAAAAGGAGAATTTGTACACCAATCAAGAGCTTCTTTCAATGGAGATCATTTCCTTTATTTTCATGACCTTAACGTGTGATTCAGGGGTGATATTATGGGGAGAAATTTGATGCTACTCACTGTTAGGGTTTAAATGATTATTCAGCGTAACTGGTTGACATTTTATCAACCTTACAATACCTTGATTGGCGTGACAAAACGTGACCCTCTGATGTTAGAAAGCGTGACCTGGCTCTCCTCTACAGCTGTTATAATATCATCAGCACCTGTGATAATAGCAATGTCACGGCTTACGTGGGCAGACAGCTGGAAGTCTGTGTGGTTCCAATAGTCCATCACCTGGAAGAGAGGCAGTTACGAACACTGTAATCAAACAACCGCTAAAGAAGATAACACCTCCCATTCATGAGCTTTCATACACTGAAATTTGTTCGTATCCTAGCTTGCCATTTTGAATCGTACTCATTTCCTGGTGAGTTTCTGTCCGAATGACAGTAACTAATCCTGCCTTAAATGAAAACCAAAAAATATGGCATCCATGATTACCGATAATCATAACCATTACAATTTCCTCAAATGTAATTGATGCACTAACTGCTTTATATCGGACAGTGTAATCGGACATTTGGCTGTAATCGGACACCTGTAGTCGGACATTTAAAGCAATCCTGCTAAGTCCACTCAGCTAAATCCACCAATCACAGAATTGATCACGATAACCATAGCAACAACCATTTATCCTGGAAGAAACTGGGAAATTTCCAAAATGCCGAAATTTTAAAATTTAGACATTGTCTCCACTGGAGATATTTGTTCTAGATTTTTTTTTTCGGAAATTGTAATGGTTATGATGAATCGTTTACAGGACTTCGTGTCGTCCAATTCTGTTTGTAATCATACTCATGATAAACAAATCGGACTCCCGCTTCGAGTTCGTCCGATTTTGTTAATCACTTGTATGATTACAGACCGAATTGGACTCCACTTAGTCCTACTATTAATTATTAATGAATTATTAATTATTATTACATATCAACAGTCCTGTTTACCTTTTGCAACATTTGTTCCAGCGTTGCTTCGTTACTTGCCTGCGAAGATATGTCCGAAATCTTCTCCCTGTGTTGAAACACCTGAAAGTAATAACCAACCACGTTTTTATTGATCAAGAGAGCAAATTTCAATCGCGTGGCGAAAGTAATCCGAAATTGCATTGGTTTTCATTTACTCCGCTCTGTGATTGGTCTAAAAAACACGCGCCACTTTCTCAACCAATCAGATGCAAAACTACTACCAATCACAACTTGGTTGCCCGCGTTTGCCCAAGCTTTAGGTAGTTTGTCTTTTAAAGGTATTTTTTTCCTTCTGATTGGTCGTTGAGATAACTTTTATTTTAGTTTTTATACAGTCAAACAACAGGCGCTCTAAAATCCATTAAATTTTCACTGTTTTTACGGTGTACTTTAAGAGTAACTCGGTGAGCCCATTATCTGTTAGTGTTGAGAATAACTTATGATACTCTAGGTGTATGACAAACAGTTACCTTGAGTTGTAGTAGGTGTCCTAAAGTGAAATATTTGTCACGAACGATACGTGTTCCAATAACATTTTGGATAGCTTCCCAGTGTCTGGTTCTCAGCGCAGGATTTCTGAGACTTGTAATTACTGGCATGCCTTGTTTAAAGCTCACCACCTTTTGTTTCAATCTCGGTACAACTTTGTTTGGTGGAAGACCTGTGATTGGAAGTACATTTAAAAGAACTTCATAGGAGTTCTATCGCACTTAACCCTTTAATCCCTGAGAGTGATTAGCATCAAATTTCTCCTTACGAAATCAGCCCTTAATCAAACATAAAGGTCATGAGAATAAAGGAAATGATCACCAACTAAAGAAGCTCTTGATTGTTGAACAAATTCTCCTTATGAGCACCTTGGGAAACATATAGAGAACATATAGAGAACGGTGTGGAGAATATGCATACCGATGTTAGGGTGTTAAGGGTTAATACTTCAGAGCAGTTTTACATGGTGTCGAAAGTAATCCTGGATTGCATTGGTCCCCGTAACTTCGATCTATGATTGGTCCAGAAACCCTTCTTAACCAATCAAACGCAGCACTACAGCCAATCACGACCGGGTGGGAAGCGTTTTCCCACGCTTGACGCCGGTTGCGTGTTTCAACCATGCGTTTTAGTTATGCCCTTGGGAAATTTCTCTCTGCTCTGATTGGCTACAGTGATTATGGCTCCAAAACACTCACTAGAAAGCGTTCAGCCGATAACACATTTGAATTTTCTAGCCAGGCCTTTCCACAAATAATATATCTTTTGAGAATTCTTCCAAACCTTAGAAAAACAACCAAAAATGAAGCCCAAAGAGAGTTCTAGTCGTTCTACCTTTTTCCAGTAAGAACACAGTCTGTATAAACCTTGTGACGTCATGCTGTACTTCGTCGATCTTCAGGGTCTCAAATGGTGTGGCCTCCCACTGGTCGACCAGTCCCTGCCACTCCTGCAAGGACTCCCATAAAAGGCACCTTAGAGTCAAGTCCTTCTCAACTTCTATCACCTCAGACTGCAGAGAAGTGGCCTGGGGACTTGAGTGGCCTGTCATGGTGGTCATGGCTCCCCTGAAAAAGACACGAAAAGAGAAAAAGCTATCACCCCTGGTGGCAATGAAGGCAGGGTGCGTTAACACAAAGGGTCAAAACTTCGGTTTGTCTTTCTTTTAGTGAGTCGTCACTTTTAGTCTCAGAACGAAACCCCATTAACAAACTTTTGTCTACGGCACTTTAACATTTTCTGTTTAATCCATTGACCTTTAAGAGTGACTAGCATCTAATTTCTCCTTAAAGTATCACCACTCAATCAAACATTAAGGTCAGAAGAACAGAGGAAATGATCACCAGCCGACGAAGCTCTTGATTGTTAAACAAATTATCCTTGTCAGCACCTTGGGAAATGTACAGAGACCAGTATGGAGAAGATGAATACTTCGGTTAGGGTGTAAAGGGTTAAGAGGTGATCTGATGCCATTTAGGGCAATATACACACGTCGAACCACTCGTGAAAATCACGCGGTAAATTTTCGTTCATTTTTCAAACGATGCTTTTCTTAACACCGCTGTTGTAAGTGCGTACTACCGCGTGCAAGCTGACGGGAAATGGTCCTTTCCTTCACTGTGTATTTCCATGATAGAGGACATCTTTTACACCGGTCAAAATGTAGAAAGAACGAAACTTACTCGGTCAAAGCCTTCTTTTGTAAAGAAGACGACATAGAACTTCCAAAACGTTCCTGATATGTGGCATAGTTACGAGCCTTGGTTGACAAGTTAGTCAGGTCTTCTTTCAAAAGTTTCAACTTTTCTGTGGCGACTTGAGGAATATTGTCAGCATCAAGTAAGACAGGAGAACAGACCTTGTTTTTAATGACAACCAGTTCACGTCGAACTGTGTTGATCAGTTCATCAAGAGCTCTACTGTATCTCTGGATGTTTTCATCCTTCTTTGCCTCACAGTACATAATGGTTGACTACAAGAACGATATTTAAAGAATCAGAAATTGAATGAAGAGAAAATAAGGAAGTATCTCTACAAATCAAGACACTTATCTCTATTTGGCTATCAAAATAATAGAGGAAACTTAGCAGTGGACATTCCACTAGGTGGCTCTTCTTGCCTGCTGTTTCCAAGTCGAATTGGAATTTGGAATGTTGGTTTTTGTGGTGAGAGGAAAACTGGAGGACCGGAGAAAAACCTTTTGGAGCGAGGACGAGAACCAACTAAAAACTCAACCCAAATATGACGCTAAGTCTGCGAATCGAACGTAGGCCACAGCCGTAAGAGGCGAATACTTCCACCGATGCGCCATCCCCGCTCCGCGAAATTACAATAGATGTAGATTTGTAATCAAACTGGTCATTACCTTCAAATGTTGAAAACTCGGCATGAGCATCTGATACAGAGCAAGCTCTTCCGCTGATATCGTCATCTCAAAGTTCCGTGCGATGCTGTACATGCGTGTTACGATGTGATATTCATGCTCCAAAGAGGAGATCTCATTGGCCATTCGCGACAAGAAGATAAGGTGTTCCACAAAGGCTTCTACAGTCTCTGGCATTTTATCGAGCTTTCTTGAAGCGTGCTGAGGAAAAAGAAAAGTAAGTTGTAGTCTGCAATTGTTTCTCGACTAAGTTCTATAAAGATTACTTTTGCAGTGCGTTCCTTAAATAAGACTGCAGGGAAGAAAAAAACACCGCACCTTGATTACATTCAGCAGGACATCATTTCGTTTGGCCGCAATGACAGGAAGGTGGCAAGCCACTGCTTCAAGAACCTTCTGAGGGTAAGGAAGACAGTCGCTTTGAAAGCCAGTTATTTCCACATGAAACAGTCCAACTCTTTTGTGCAACACCATCTTGGACATCTCAAGAACCTGAAATAATAAAAACAAAATCGATAATACACGTACAAAATCCGTTACATTTAAGAAATCGTGTTAGAATTGCAACGATAGACCGAGACACGTCAATGGCTTTGTTGTCCCTCGCAGATGTTGTTTAGTCTCGCCCCTGGGAGCGACTAACATCTTATTTCTCCTACAGTAACACTGCTGAATCAAACGTTCAGGTTCATGAGAAAAAAACTTACTGCAAGATCCACCGGGTAGCGACCATCCAGTGGATAGTTTTATCCAACCTTCGAACGACCAGAGTCTGGAGGCGAGCAACAAATTTGCAAGGGTCTGAGGCGGAACGACGCTGTCCTTACTTCCCCCGTTTTTTTTTTTTTTTTTTTTTTTTTTAAATTTTTCCAATATTCTTCATAAACTGCCTGCCTAGAACAATCTACTTTATTCTCGAAATTATTTTAGACGAACTGTCTAACCTCTTCCGTGTGCTGATTGAGAACAGCATAGAACTCTTCAGTGTTCCACTCTCTTTCTTTAAGGGAGCCATCGACATCCACCCTCCGCGACTTGTCTACCATGACACAAAATCTCTTATATCTCTGATAAGCAACAAATACAAAAAAAATTGACAAGGTTAGGTCTTTTTTGGGTTCATGTTTTGCTTTAACACACTGACCTGGAGAACATTATGCGCGAGGCTGGATTTAACCGTACAGGACCAGTTTTCAAAACTCATCTATTTTCATTTATATCTAGTACTTTCTTAGGTTAAGTTAGCGTTTAACTGTAAAGCGGTGTTATTGTATAATCTTTCCTTCTTAATGAGTAATATTAGCACATTAATGCGCATCCCAAACTAAACCAAAATGGTAAATCAAAAGGATGAGCGTAATTCAAAAATAAGCTTTGAGTTAGAAAAGTCTCAAGTCGTCCTTTTCTCAACTTTTGCATCCTTTGAACATTCAACTTTCATGCAATTTTTTACGTGACAGGGGTGATTTCTTCGGTTTTCCTTTGAAATTTCGCGCGGGAAATTGCGCGCACGGCTGGCCAGAATTGACCCCCGCGCGCATGCCCAACGCTGCATTCAATCCGCGATTAGCAAGTTAAATATTACACTCGCAGCCCTCTCTATCTGCATTCCCATGGAGTATCACCTTTGAAAAACTGAGTACGTTATCCACTTCATCCTTGATCTGATGAAATATTTGGCCAACGTCATTCTGATAATCAGGATCTTGGCCAAACAGCAGCTCTGAATCTGGCCACGGAATCTTCTTCGCCTTTTCCTCCTCATACACATCACGTGACAAAGCATATACTACGTCACTTGCTGGTGGATTGACATAGACCGACAATTGTGGATCATGGACCAAACTTTTGAATGAAGCTGCAGTTTGTTCAAAGCCACATATAATGTCGAGGAGAGCAATCTCAAATTCCTGAGAAGAATTTATACGAGAGTAATTCGTAAGGTTGCGTGAAATTTAACACCTGGGAGTCCTGGGAGCCAGGTCATTATTGGGAGGGGGGGAAGGTGTGGAGGATTTTTTTTTGGGGGATCACATGGTTTTTAGGGGGGGACAGTTGTCGCCAACAGAGTATAAATGGGGGACTCAAGAAAATTAACTGCCAATGAGGAGAGATCTTAAAAAAATAAAAAGACATACCGACCCGTTAGTTTAAATCAGGGAAGGGCTGAGTTAGCTGTGCTAACTGTTTTGCTCATAAAAAGTGCGATAAAGCCCAATGAATTTTGAAGCAATTCGCTGAAACCTTGGATTTCGAAGGCCGAAGAAATCTCTTGGTCAAAGCTGAACTCGTCCTAATAGTTAAAGGCGATTGTCAGCATTCTTAAAAGTCTACCTCCGTTGATCGAATCTTCGTTAACTTCACCGAACTTCGCGCTAACTTGTACAAACATTAATTTCCCCTGGGTTTCCGGAACAAACTCATGTCACGTTTGTGGCTTTATTTACCTGTTCTGTTGGTCTGAGAGAAACAAAAGACTTTGACGTCATAGAGGTTCGAGTGCCAGTTGACACAATTGAAGGATCTTTTCCGGATGTGACAGTCATGGTGTCATCAGCAAATGATGTTCCATCACCAGTGTAAGGTGTGGATTTCCCTTCTGTCCGTGATCTTTGGGCAGATTGAACATCAAATGTGACGGTCTTTCTGTCAACTGAAAACCAAAGTATACGCATTTGCATCGGTGATTCAGTCTCTATATTGTGTACAACACCATGGAGTTGTGTCTGCAACTAGTGCGTGGCTCTCAGTAATGGAGATAAGGAAAAAAAGAGCGGGAAAAAATGACAGGCAAACGGATGCACCGGTCGCGTTTCTCCGCTTATTTCGCGAGCGCCGTTTTTCGCACGCCTACCATTTCGCTCGTCTTGCCTCTCGGAGAGCCTGGTACAAGCTACAGTACTATGTTCGGTGTTCAATTTTCTAGACCTTCATCCCTTTGACCCCTTAAAGTGATTTGCATCTATTTTCTCCTAACAATATCACCCTTGAATCAAGCATAAAGGTCAAGAGAATAAGATAAATGATCACATTCAAGAAGCTCCTGATTTTCAAACAAATTCTCCTCATCAGAACCATAGGAAATGTATAGAGAAGTGAATGGAGAACATGGATACTGAATGGTAACAATTAACTCTTTGACCCCTAAGATTGACCAGCATCTAATTTCTCCTTACAATATCACCCCTAAATCAAACATTAAGGTCATGAGAATAAAGGAAATGATCACCAATTAAAGAAGCTCTTGATCATTCAATAAATTCTCCTTGTCAGCACCTTAGGAAATATTAGTATAGAGAACAGTATGGAGAATATGCATACTGATGTAACAGTTTAAAAGATTAGGATCATGGTTTTTACGTTATTGCAAGCATACCTCCTCCTTCCTCAGTGGGAGGGACATTCAAAACCAGCTCCACAAGCAGAAGTGGAACAGCTTTTTTATCTTCCTCGTCATCTGCGTCAAGTTTCACACTGTTTTTCTTCTCCTCATTTTCAAGGGTGGGTTCCATAAGACTCAGGTGCACAATGGATCCTATGTGGTATTGAACACAATGCACACAACTGCTATTGACTTTGGTCCATGGTAAAAAAGTCAGAGTAAAGCTCTTCAAACTTCTACCTGCATGCATCTTCCTACATCAATTTTTGTCTACTTTGAAACTTGCACAAAAAAGTGGGAGTGTCCTTAAAGGTCCATTGTCAACCATGTACTGCATCAGTAAATTTTGCAAAGTTTGAAATTTCCATTTACAAGATTGTAGCTATTATCAAAACACGACATTTAATAATGAACTGTTTCAAGACAAATTTCGGACCACACAGAGCCACATAGAATAACAAAGGCCTTCAGGGTGCTAGTGTGAAATCATAACTAATGGTCCATTCACTAAAACAACAGCCATATGTTTGAAATTCCCTGACTTTTCCCTGCCCTGACAAATCTGACCAACTGTAAATTTTGGCCTCCAAAAGTTTTATTAATGCTTTCAGCAAGACCATTTAAATTGATAGAACGTAACATGGAAAAAGGATTGATTTTCTTGGAAACCTAACATCAGCTTGTCGTTCAATTAAAAAACAATATTTACTAATCCAACATGAACTGAAATGTACCAAAGAATTTGAAATGTTAGAAAACAATGAAAACAGAGGAAAAAGAAAGTGTGTGATTTCATTCAGAGCCAACTTTCTTGCATTACAAGAATAATTTAAAACTGTACTAAACAATATACATGGGTGCAACATCACAGAAAGTTAAATCAGGCCAAACAAGATGAATGACAGCTCACAGGGGATGGGGTCACTAAAATCTTTTCCCTGACTTTTTTCAAAGACTCAAAGTGAAATGACCTTGAAGAATTTTTTTTTTCCCTGACTATTTCCTGACCTGTGGCAACCATGTAAAATCACTTCAGAGATGACACGTCTGAAACGACTTGCTTAATTGAAACTTCCCCCTCCATTATGGCATGGCCAAGTGGTTAGGGCACTGGACTTGAAATCTGGTGTCCTGGATTCAACTCCTCTACCTTGCTATACACTGGATTTGCTCTCAGCCACCAACTGGTCTGCCTCCTACCAGTTGGGACTTTAAAGCACTTCTTGTTCATTTGAATATTTGTTCTCTCTTTCAGAATGAAAAGCACTTAAAGGGTTGCTATAACTGCTGTATGAGTTGTAATCTTATTATATATTACAATTAAAATTTGTGCAAGTGGGTTCTAATGGTGGCTCTTAACATAAAATTCCTCTCCATGTTACATGCCTGATAGGGAAAAGCCACACAATTGGAAAATCACTGGCTTTATTTGACTGTGAAAACTGATAAAGATCTATACAATCACTTAGTCTACTGTATTAATATTCTGCTCCTCATCTTGGTGGCAAAGCCAAATTGAGGATGTTTTCTTTGGAGACAGACCATATCACATAGTCTGCTCATCCCAGTCAGGGCATTCATGTCAAGGACTGCTGTTGACAGTAATTACGGTCACTGCAGATTTGAGAACCTTTGCAGAAGTCATTATCAGATATATGTCACTTGACTTTGACTTTCAGATACACGTCACTTGACTTTGATGATATTAACTCCTCATAAGGTTTTTCAAAATGTCATTCACCACAAGTGACAACAGCCCTTTTCAAGACTACTTTCACCCTACTGAACCTATTTACATGTAAGTACCTACCCAGCATAGATGCAGCTTTAACTTGTGCTAAGAATGTCCTTAATGCAGTTAGTACAAGCCTCCTTAAGAGCTCCATCACCAGAAAGTCAATCATTCTGATGAAACAAGTCAAACGATGGAGGACTCCTCTCCATTGAGACATCTGAGTGAAGGAAGGTCCATACCTAACCTTGCCTGAAATACAAAAGAGCAACAAAGGTAAAGTTACCAATACTTTTGAGGATCCCAAAACTCGTTCAGTGTCACAATTTCTAAACTTCCAGATGCAATCAACATGAACCTCCTCCCTTAATATCCTTACATTATCCAGCAAACAGGTAATGAGAATATTCAAACTTATCGGTAGAAATTTTTATCTTGATCTGACACCAAATTCCTGTAACTAATTTACGAGGAAAAGTGTAGCAGTAAGAGGGGAGAATTAACAATCAGATCTTGGGAGCTAAAGGGTTAATGACAGAGATAAAGAAAAAACAGTTCCTATAGCTCACTTTTTCTTTCTCGTTACCTTTCTTTTTCTTGCCTTCAGGGTTGTCTTCCTTTTTTTTCTTCTTTTGTTCCCTTTTTCTTTCTGGGTGAACCCATTCTGTTAGTCCTTCTTCTTCCGTAATTTTCTGAAATAAAACAATTATGATAAAATTGTGCTTTTAAAAAAGTCATTGAGTGCCTGTCACTGGGTTCTGTAGTTTCTAAAATCTAATGATCACCAACTAAAGAAGCTCTTGATTGTTAAACAAATTCTCCTCACCAGCATCTTGGGAAATGTATAGAGACTAGTATGGAGAAGATGCATGCTGATGTTAGGGTGTAAAGGGTTAATGCTCTAACAAAGTCTATGCTCTAACACTGCCATGAATGGTTTGTCAAGTCTCTATATCAGTTAGGTAGCCCACACTCCCAGAGCTTACTTGGGTTGGCAAACAAAATGGTTTCTGCAGCATTCCTCATCACTTAGTATTCCCTATGGACTAATCACACTGAAGTCTGGTTTTAGATTCCCAGGTGGAAGAGGATGCAAGGAAGCCCAAGATTTGTGAAAGGAAGGTCTGGGAGTACTGCTACACCCCCCTGGATAGGATGCCAGTCCACCAAAGGTTGTCCCCCTCCATCTCATAATGTTTACATGACAGTTCACTGGCACTCATTTTAACTACAGGGTGGAGAGAGCCATTGGGAGAGTAAAGCCTATTCCTCATCCTCTTCCTCAGGAACACAACACAGTGTTCCAGTCCACATTTATTCACTCTGTATCCAGCCTTGGCCCACCATCCAGGTACTTCCCCTTTGAACAAACTCAGCTGCAAGGTCACCTGAAGCTTTTCAGAACTAAGTTTATATTGTTTCTCACATTCCTGATTTAATCCTACCTCACAGGCCTCTTTGACAATCTCCAGTACTTTTACCCTCAAGGCAGTTAGCTTTTCCGTGGCGTCTTGTGCTTGTCTTGTCTGTGCATCCACAAATTCCTTCAGAGTAAAGGTTGTCTGAGGATCAATGTGTAGGAGACAAATTCCATCCTCTCCTTCTCCCACTCCTGTTATACTGCTGCAGGCTTTCTCACAGAGAGCTCTTACAAGGAGTATAGCTTGTTGTGAGGCTTTTGTTGCCGAAAAAAGTGAACTGACAACCTCAGATCTGAAAACATAAGATGTCATTTACTTTAACCTTTACACCCAAACATCAGTATGCATATTCTCCATACTGTTCTCTATACATTAAATTTTCCAAAAGTACTGATGAGAAGAATTTGTTTCATAATGCAGAGCTTCTCTAGTTGGTAACTATTTCCTTTGTTCTCATTACATGAATGTTTGATACATACTTTACATACATACATACATACATAAACTTTATTAAAGTGTCAAGGTATTTAGCTAAAAGCTAATTGTGGACACTATAAAAAATAAAATGAATACAATGTAAGTATATGTAAAAACATTAAAAATATAGTCTTAAAATATCATCAATATACAAAATGACATCAATATATAAAATTTTTACAATCAAATAGAACAAACAAGCAAACAGACAATATAGGGCAAACATATAAGCAGCAGTCGAAACATGAATATAAAATTAAAAAAGTTAAACAGTCTAGATAATTTAAATTAGACAAATTAAATAGAAGATAGTGGAGCACACCCCCAATACACAAGGCAGCCAGACAGCAGAAGCCACTATGCATATCCACCAATCTAAGATGAGCACGCACAGCAGCCACATGTACTGTCCAGCAAGCCAAGTACATTAAGAGCATGCACCCCTTTCCTGAACGCCTGAAGACTGGTCTTAATGCGTATTTCCTGGCTAATCTTGCCCCATATGTGTGGGCCTGATTTCAGGGGTGATATTGTAGGGAGATATTAGATGCTACTCACTCTTAGAGATTAAAAGGTTAAGTTTGAAACAGTTTACAGCAAATAAACATCTTTAGACAGTTTAATCCTTTACGCCCTAACATCAGTATGCATAATTATTCTCTATTCTGTGCTCAATCACATTTTCCTGTGACCTACGTGTGTGATTTAAGGGTGATATTGTAAGGAGAAATTAGATGCTATTCACTCTCAGGGGTTATAGGGTTAAAGAGCTTTTAGTTCTAGAGAATAATGATGTCACTGAAAATTCATGACCCCATAGCACTAGCAGTAATGAAAGTTTGTGGTAAGCAGGAAATTGGCTGGGATAAAGAGGCAAAATATAAACTAACCTACTGCTACAATTTTTCTGAAATCTGACATTGTTCCTCCAACACATATAACCTTTCCACAATCTGCAAAATGATCAAACACCTTTAGTTTTTATTGTGAAGCACATGATAAGAATAATGATACAATCTGGTGGTTTAAAAAATTAAAATTCACATTTGAACGAAGCACCTTATGATTATAAGTGAAATGTTTATTTTTGAGGGAAATTAAAAGAGAGGTTCGCAACAAATCCATCAGAGACACAGAGGCCTAATGCTAAGTGCGCTAACTAGAAGAGAGCCAGGTTCAAGACCTGGCCTAGTCATTGTGTTGTATTCTCAGGAAAAACACTTTAACTTCACAGTGCCTCTCTTCACCCAGGAGTATTAATGAAGCCCAATAAAATGCTGGGGGGTAACCTTGAAATGAACTGACATCCCATCCAGGGGGGAGTCGTAATTAATACTCCTAATCATTTCATACTATGAAACCTCAGGATAAATACCACTTGGTTCATGTAAAGACAAGGGCCCAGTTGTTCAAAGGCCAATTAGTGCTAACCCAGGGTTAAATTTTAATATGGGTTTCTTTGCTCCTTTGTTTGATAGCCTTTTTGGGATCATTTTCGCAATTCTATATGGAGCATCCAATCACCAGATTGTTGACAAAAAGAATTATACTGAATTTTCTCTTAAGGCTTTCAGATTGCAAATCAGAGTTCAGACTAACTATAGGTCATCTTAACCCAGCTTTGAACAACCCAGCCCTTAGCAACAAATACACTGTAAGTATTACCACACTCTAGAATGAAATCTTACACATGTACAGCCAAGCTCACAAAAGTAATTTCCAGAACACATTCTCCCCAAAGGATAGAACATACTCCTCAGCGGTAAAGAAACGGTCATCTTTCCCTTTCCTTTTTTGTTTTATTTTGCTTGTGAGTATCAAATCATAAATGATCATAAATACATTTTTTTTTACATTTATTTTATGAAAAGGTCTACAGAAGAGCCACAATACTTGCCTAAACTTGGTGAAGGTTGGAAAACCAAATATTATACTAAATATTTTCTTCTCATAAAGCCACCTCTTTAATGGAGTAAGTTCAGAATCAAACCCTTCTCTGATCTAAAAGCAAATAATGAATAACATGTAATGACCATCAATGCATTATGAAAATGTGAAAGACAACGTTATTCAGATTGGTACTTTAGATGCTCTACCACTGTGAGACTCACAGTAGGATTGGCATTTATTTAGGTCTACGGTGACAAACTTTCTGCATACTGCTAAGACACAAATGTCTATGTGAACAAAGCTGGTAAATTCTTGAAGATGTTTGGAATTGTGTGTGCAAGAGGACTCCCAAGAGTAGATAATAATATTATAGATCAGCTTGTTAAATCAATACATTTTTAGTAAGTATGATTTGTGCACTAGAAAAACTGGTCTCATGCAGAATAAAATCATACATGTCAGAATAATATGTTCTGGCAAAAAAAGAGCAACAACAACAACCAAAGGCCGAAGAATTCAAGTAGAATGTGATGAGGAAAATAATTTTAATAATGGAGAAGACTCACATGGGTTACTCATGATGAATTTCACAAGATCAGATTCAATTTTTTTAAGATGTACAAACCACGATATACACGACTTTTGTACCAAATTCAAAACTAGTGCCCTCAATTTCTCAATGTTTTGTTGAATTTTTAGTTCTTATCTATTGGGGATCAGGGGATAAACTTTGGCAGAGGAAGCAGTCTGATTTATAAGGTCATGAGCTTTTAATGTTCACCCACCAGTGTAACAGCTGAAGCAGTCACAGTAAAATACTGTGGGTTTGACTGGGCTTCCTGTGATGTCACACAAACCAAGTCATAAGGATTATATCGTGCAGCTCTCAAAGTTCTGTTCTTTGGAACACAATATACAAATTTTCCATCATCTTCTTGGATGTATAATCGATTGATATTGTTTTCATCTTCATCTGGATCTTCCCCATTGGCAATTGCATCAAGATCTGTGCTCATATTTAATCTCTGGCGCAGCTTAACAATCACATCTGATACATGGCAGTTGATGAATTCTTCATCACCTAGTATTCCCTGTGAAAGGGGCTTTGCCTCATTTCTATTGAAGTCTGGTTTTAAACTTCTAGATGGAGGAGGGTGCAATTTTCCAGATGAAGCCCGAGATTTGTGAGAGAAAGGCCTGCTACTTGCAGTTTTACTTGAGGCCACAGAGTCTGACTCATCATCACCCTTACCAAAGGATCCGACTGATGATATCTGGAGAGGTTAACAAGTAATAAATTCTTTATCAGTTCTGTCTTCCAGAATTGTCCACAAACATTTTCAGCTTATAAAAATGGACACAGGTAAATTCTCTATTGTTATACCTACAATTGTCCATAATGATTATAAATAGCCACAAGCACTTTAATCCAGCCAAAAATGGGCACAAGTAAATTCTCTATTGGTACAACCAGCTTTTTCTACTTCAAGCCACCAGTCAAGCATTTTCACCACACAAAAATGGACTGAGTAAAATTTCTGATAATACCCCCAGAATTGTCTACTGCGGGTAGCCACAAACATCTGTAACTTACAAAACTATACACAAAAAATCAAACAGTTTTAAGAACACTTCTGACCCACTGGATAGAATTCCAGCTTCTGAATCCAAAGAGGAAAAATACCTGATCAACTGGTCTTTCACTGTTAGAAAGTTCACTTCTCTGATCCAGATGTAAGTTATCTGCACCATCTTCCTCTAGACTTGAAAAGGCAGCACCATTTGCAGTTGTCAAATTCTGTGGGTCTAACTTTGTCTCTGGCTTTTGGGGGTTTCCTTGCTCAAATTCCACTGCTCCTTGTGTGACTGGAACAGGTGCTTTAGGAAAACCCTGATTTCTCTGAGCTTGTAATCTGTTGAAATCTCTTCTGAACATTGTGGTTCTATAGTTACCCATCACTGACCTTGAGCCACCTTTTGAAGGTGGATGAGGTGAACCCTGTAAAATATTCAAAAGCACAAAAAATTAGTCCTCTCCAAGGTTTTCCACACAAACTGGCTGCTGACAAATTTCTTCTTTTATTTCACATTTTTTTAGCCAACTGCTTTTTGTTGAAAACTTACCCAAAATATTACAAGAAAACATAAGGTAGCCAGGTAGGTAGGTATTTTATTTATCCATCCTTACACAGATGAGTACAAGACTTGTTTCTATGTGAACGTGCCAAATTACTCTAAATCCAGTACATATCAAGATGGAGAATAAACAAATAAATAAACTAAAAGGAAATAAAAATAAAAATGTATGAAGATATAAAAATAAAAATATACAAAAATTAATAATCCTAAGAGGAAATGTATCTATATAGAATTACGTACAAAAGTTACAATTACACTCAACTCCGGTAGTCAAATTGACCTCATCCAGCATTGACTAAAAATGTTAAGAGATAGAGCTCTCCTGACATAGTCAGGCAGATTTTTTGCACTGGTTTGTTGAATGTCATTTGGATAATGTTTGAACTGGCTTGTGAAAGCCGTGAAATTTGTTTCTTTGTTCTTTCAACATTCATATCTGTGCTGTGCCACCTACCTCGCCTAGTAGTGACCAAAATCTGATCTCTCCTTTCATGGACACTACTAAATCATTCATTATGATAATGAGGGAAAAGAAATAATCCCCAACCTAAGAGGCTTGGCACAATCTTAAAATCTAACACAATTAAAACAATAAAACTATTCATCATTGATGGTCTGCTCTAGCTTAAATTCTCAGGCTCATTTCAAGGCCATTTTAACGAGCTCATATGCACACAGCTTTCGCTAGTACTTGCGTTACTAGTGGGGAATGGCCGTAGTGAAAATGTCATCATACACTCAGCTTTCTCCGTGACAAATCTTTACATTTCAGATGGGACGTATAAACAGACCTCTTTAAAAATAGAAACAAAGGTTTGTTAGAATTGCAGCTATTGTTTTTGGCAACAAATACCATGAAATACCATGGGGCGCGATTTCAAAGCGTCCGTGTTTCCATGACACCTACGTACACTGTAAGTTTTATATTATCATTTGCTAGGATTCAGTGACAAGTATAATTGCTATTGTCTCCAGAAACCCAGAAACGTTCTCATCAGGAAAAAATATCTTTTAGAACAACTCCTCCCCGAGTAAACCACCCGGTAACTATTTCTCTGCATTCATTATGAGCTTACTTTACCTGAGTTGATGTCTGAACTGAAGGTGGCGGAACAGGTCGGTACATTGCTCGAAAAACTTCGGAGTTTTCCGGTCGGTCGTAAAGTCGAGACTTCAAGGAATCTATGGCAGCTCTTCCGTCATTAATGGTTCTTTTAACGGGTTTTTTTTGTCGACATGCAAGGTCATCTCGACGGTTTCTTTGTGAGAAACCTGCGATTCCTGTCGCAGATGTGTGCAAGCGGCAATCAACAGCGGAATTGTGGGGTACAAGTGGATTTGACTCGTCCGCTTCGTTCTCCATTTTTCTAAGTTATGAGCATCCTCTTTTCACAGTTTGGGAACTTTTTCTTCATACATCCATACTTTTCAAAACTACCACCAACGTTTGTGTTTACCATTGCCAAAAAACTTTTCAGACTGCAAAAGGCCATAGTAAAATGCCGTTCTAACAAAGTCAGTCATTGGCTTATTCAGATATTCCGCTCCTTTTTATTACAACTCATGTCATTGGTCAGCTTTTAGGAAAACGTAATAAATACCTGCTGAGGTTCGGAATAACTCCTTCCTATTTTTAAGAAAAATCGAAGCAAGATCGATCACATCAGACATTTTATTTTATGTTTTTGGAATGAGCCAATGGATTTCTGTTATGGTCAAGTTGAGCATAGGAACTCACGAAGATTGGAAAAGATAGTTTCCCTCCATGGAACTACGAGAATTTAAACGAACCGCCACAACCCTTCCACTCCCAAGATTTCATTAGTAACTCTCCTTACTGTCTGTCATAAAATTCTTATCATTTTAGATAAGAGAAGTTGATATTAGTTCCACTTAATTGAATTTTTATATATATATATTCTCATCACGTCTGCTTGATAATGTTATGAGAGATTCTCCCTTGGTCTCTTATGGGAGCTTAGGGTTAAGTGAACAAGTCAGTTAACGGACACATTTGGAATCCCTTGACTCGCAAAGAAAACAACAAAAAGTCAACTCTTAATCATAATCTGCTCTTCAACCAATCCAATGAAATATGCAAATTAAAACTTTCTGGAATTGTTTTTTTAACATAAAGTTTTATTCTATTCTGCTATATCCTTTGAAGGTTAAAAAGAAAGGTACATTTTATTATATCTTACTTAACTAATGAAAAAAAAAGAAAAAAACCATGATTCAGCATTCCAATCAATGAAAGCCAGTTATTAACTGTCTGCCACATTTTGTTTAGCCTGTGGGCAGGCTGTCATGCTCACCTTTTGCCTTACAGCCCTTCACCAGGGAACTAATTAAAAAAACTCAAGATTAGAAAAACCATGATTCAGCATTCCAATCAATGAAAGCCAGTTATTAACTGTCTATGCCTAAGGGGATTTTTGAATTTAGGACAGGGATCTAGAAATAGAGAAGGGTCAAGCAGGACTTTGAAAATTCTTTACTTTGCTATTATTATTATTATAATTGTTTTATTATCTTCTCCTTTTTTAAGTTCAAGAAGTAAACCTGAACGAAGCGTGTATTCGTTAGTTTTTCTTAAATTTTTATTAGACATTTTAATGTATTCTTCGATTTTTTTAAGGATTTTATAATTTTTGTAAATATTTTTAGAGATCATTGTGAATAAAATTTCCCTTTGTGCTGTAATTAAACCATAAGCAGTTGGTATTGTAAAAAGTTATTGCAACCCTTGATTCATGCCTGAATCATCCTGCAGCATCCATCATTGAAGGTCGACTTCATATACAAAAAAATGACTGTTTTTTCTTTTCATATAGAAATAATGTACGTGAAAAATTGGGCACTTCTGATTGGCTCACACTTAGTGACTTTTCATGTAACACAAGTGCAAAATTGTAACACAAGTGCTACTTAATAATAGCATGTAGCTGCTTTCAAGATTTCATCTGTCTTGACTTTGTGCATTTGTTCTTGTACATTATTAACAAGTAATAACACGATTTCTCTAGCAATCTAGTTTAATAAGCATTTGTTAATTTTTCAAAGACTTCAAATTGCACTTGATGTCTTTGAAAAAATTTACTTGTGCTTATCGAAACCAAATTGCACTCCTAATCATGTTATTGAATATACTAAGCTAAATTACAAATGCATTCTGATCAAGTCTTACTTTGGGTCTACTGAAGAAGAGATGCATGGATAAAGTCACCATTGACAATATTTTTGCTTCTTTGATACTAATATAGAACGAATAAAATCCAGGTTGCTGTGGGTCTGTATGGTAATAGGGAGTTTAAGAATAACCACTATGGCAATGGCAACAGCAACAGGATTGTCACTAAACAAAAGGTTTAATAAGCAGAACAATGGCTGTGTACATGCATTATAAATCTTGGTAAGTTTCTTTGCGTCCTTTGCAAAACAACAATGTGTGAACAACGGTGGTTTAACTTTAAATTTCTATTTCTAGTTTAACACTATGTTCCATATTCAGTTTTGAGAAATTTTAGACGGTGAGAAACAAATTAAATGACTTTAGAGTGTTGCGAGATTCATAGGTAAAACACAAGTTCATTTTTTTACTGACGCTGTCTACAACACCACAGTCATTGTTTCTTAAACTCCTTATTAATTCACAGAAGGCGTGAAAATGTGGTAAGACCATTGGCAAAAAAAAAAAAAAAAAAAAAAAAAAAAAAGACCATTGGCAGCACCCTCTCAGCTATTCTTAACATGCCACTAAACATTTAACGTCATCAGTGATCTATTAATTACCGAATACGATTTTCTCTTTAAATATTTCCATTTAGTGATAGGTATTTTGTAACTCAAATTTATCATGGTTTAAATTACCTAGTAAAAGAACTCTACATTGTCCAATTCTGTCCGTAATCATGATCTGATCACTTGTATGTTTAGGGACCGCATTGGACTCCACTCGTTCCTATGACTAATTTTAGAATATAATTGTTACATGTCGTTCTTGTATGAACTCAAGTGAAACCTTATGAGGAATCGACATGCCACGTACAGAAATTAAAACAGATGCAATTCCTCAAGGTGCAGAATTTAAAACCTTTTGTGAGCATAATGAGACAAAAAGCTGCGAGAAAAACAAGAAGAGACAACGTTCGACTGCTGCATAAATTAATGCGATTAACAAAGGTTATTGACGTCGCTTTAAATTAAACCCGTAAAATATTAATGATCATGACATTAGCGTAAAACACAGATAATTTCCCGCTTGTTCTGAAAAAAGGCCTGAGAACGCAATCAATAGCCTTTAAGCCTTAAAAAAATGAACACACAATAAATACATCTGTTGTGAAGCCGATTTCAATTTGGATCTGACAAAATGAAACTGAAAAAATTGCCAAGCTGTTCGCCGGCAGTCCTACGATGATCAAAATGATCTACTTTCCGTCTTCGAGGAATGTTTTTAAGCATGATTGATCGGTTCCAACTGCGTAAATAGGATTTTATCTCTTTTCAGGAGGGCGTTCCATCCTTGAAATAGATTTTCCGCTTCAAAAAGTTGGAGTAAAAAATAGAACATGCTTCGAATCGCACAAAGAGACAGGCAGTGCACTTCATTAAGCTTAGCGGCCTGGCATGGAAAAAGCGAAGTCTGCATGTAATGGGCCTTATGATTGGCTAATCTAACAATAAACGTCGATCAGGGATCACATGACCTCAGCAGGCTTGCGAGTCTCGGTAATGGCGACGTGAATTCAGTGTGGCGATATGATTAGTTTTCTTTTTGGCTTGTCGTTGCGATATTTTCCTAAAAATCGAACTTTTACAGGGAGCATACCCTCCCCCAAAAGTCACACTGGCAGTTTTGATGAGTAATAGGAAATATCCGAGGCTAGTGGACGGGTTAGTAGAGGTTTAATTGACAACTTCAGGATCGTGCGAGGCCGCCATGTTTTCTATTAATAAACTAGCTGATAGCCGCTATAAAGTCGATCACACGGACCAGGAATCTCAAGATGATCGCTTGCAACTCATCTAGCAAATAACAATAGCATTTTTTCTCTTTTAGGTATAATGACCGGAGTCAGTATCATCCATGCCAGGTTTGTATGGAGTTAAATATGGGAGCATATGAACTTCAATCCAAACTTTATTCGTGGAGGTTGAGAATTGTTTCTCAATAAAATAACTTCTCCACTAAAAGGGTAAAGCTTATTTGGCGAAGTGTGCTTTCAGGTACGTTTAGGAATTCCTCTTCTCAGTAATATGTTGTTATTATAGGCAAGTTCCAAGTTCTCGTCGAAAATCCATCCCAACTGCAATTCGGAGAGTGGTCGAGAGAGGGAGAGATCGCCGATTAGTTCGACGAATAGTCGAGGAAGTTCACCGTACTCCCGCCATTCAAACTTTTCCCCCCGTTCCCATCGCTCAAAGCCGTACAGTCGATCGCGAGAAGGAAACAAGAGAGGTTGGTATTACGGGCTTTATGCTCGTGTCAGCTGCTAGAATATAGCTTATTGAATCAATGAAATGTGGCACCGTGGAAGGGTAAGAAAGCACTCTCCAAGATGGGATTGTGGACTGTTTAAGAAGGTGTCCTAAAGGAAAAGAGAAGTCTTGTGGAGAAATCAATAACGAAAAACTTTGTAAACAAGCCCAACCTCACATGTGTTATCAGCTCAGTCATTAGACAACAAAGTGAAAATCCACTGCAGGTGTTATAAAAACCTGCTAACCCTAATGTCCAGGCCTTGTAGTATTTCACACAAATTCAACCTATTATTTTATGAGTGAAAAGGGGTTTAAAGGTGAGTTTTTAAAGGATGCTAAGAGAAATGGCCATCTCTTTTAATAAAGTTAATGGTGTCTTTATTTAAGTTCTAAAAAGGTAAAGTCAGATTTCTGCAGGAAGTGGATTTCACTCCAGTTAAATGTCGACCGGTTCTTGTTTAAAATGTAATAAAAGGATTTCGTGAGAGCTGTCAACAGAGGATAATGGAAGAGCAGAGTTAAATTTTATTAGTGCATTTTGTACAGAAGTGGTGGCAGTACGAACATCATCAGATTGAAGCTTGACACATTCACATATGAACGCTACCAACTGTGGTGTCAGTTGCTGTCAAAGTAAAAAGAACTTGAAGCTCAAAAGTGGCAAATGCATAAGACTTACCATAAACCTACGTTGGTCTTTTTGATGCAAATGATAATGCATTTATCCACACAGTTTAGCAAACCTTGATTTTTTTTTAAAAATTAGTTTGAAATTGGAATTCAGCAGCTAAAACAGGTTGTATTGCTACAAAACATGCAGTGAAATGAAAAGCTTTTTGCTTGTTTACTAGAACAGGCATAGTTCTCTGTCACTGAATAACTCCTTGCTTGGTGTGGAGGGAAAAATCTAGTCATATCCTTATTTTAAAAGAGCAGGCAACCATCACAGAAGAAATGAATGTATAAAACATGCAACATCAAATCTTAAGGCAGAGACAGGTAATGATGATAAGACCAAGAGAGTGGTTTGGTTGAAATGATAACTTCTTGTTAGTTTCTTATGGAAGTGACACTATTATCTTAATGGGCACAGTGCAAAAAGAGGAAGTCATATAGCATTTTTATTGGAGATAGGTTTTGGTCTTCTTGAGGTGACAACTGAGTTAGCTGGAGAAGCCCAGCATAGTAAATACTGAAATTGCTAGCAACTGGTTCTATTTGAACCCTTGACATGCTTGATTTGTTGCATTCTAATGTATTTTAAATTTAATACTCCTTTAACCCTTTCACTCCCAAGATCTCCTTAGTAATTCTCCCTACTATTTTCCTTACAATTCTAGTGTTTGCGCAGAGACTTTGGTATTACATCAGCTAATAATCCTGTAGAACAGATGACAAGCTTGAACAAGATAACACAAATAAGAATGTTCATCTGTCAGTTCTTTAAAACTGCAGTTTCTTGTTCAACAGGTTCTAGCAAGTCTCCAACTGATGCACACAGTCATCATACCCTTCCTAACAGTAACTCACATGGCAATGAGCGCCACAGCAAGCCCAACCATGTCAATAGTGACGAGGTACAATATTTTCTAAAAATTTTCAGTGCTCTACAGCAGAAAGTGCAAATCTGTGAAAAGAAATGCGTCACCAACTTTTTTACAAGCTGTCAGTAATGGAAGATCGATAAAGGTTTTTGTTTCGGTACCTCTGATACACAGTTTTCCAAGCCTTTTAAAAATTTTAGTTATTTTTGGATGAAATCAAAATTGCTATCAGAACTTCGTAGTAGAATTTTCTTTGGCAGTTGATATGGTGTTTTCCATAATTGTCAATTCAAGGGAAATTTTAAAAATATCTTTCAATCCCTATTTGAATAAGACTTTCTGTTTCAATTTACTGTGTGTGTCACTGATAGTTGAAACATTTTTGTTGTTAATCCTTGTTTCTTATGTTTTAAAAACTTACCCTATATAATACAAAGTAACCTGAATATGATGTCATGAAATCTAAAGATAAGAATGTTGATTTTCTTCTTGAGTGTACATTTTTCTTTTCTTTTGCAGACTTCTGTTTGGTCTCAGCACACCAGTTCTTCAGGAAAGGTTTACTATTACAACTGTAAAACTGAAAAGTCCCAATGGGAAAAGCCAAAAGAATGGATTGAGCGGTAGTAGAAACTATGATAAAATCTTGTGTTTATTTAATTTTGCAATTCATTTTTTTCGAATAAAAGGACAAAGCCATCTGGTTTTTAGGGACCTTAAACAGTCAGGACTGTAATGCCAAGAAAAAATCTATTGAGAAGTTAATTATATTTCTAATAAGAATTTTGTGAATTGCTGGAATCGTGTTATGGATTTGTTCATTAAATATTTTGCTGAGTCGCATTCTCTGTCCTGTTATCATTTTGCTTAAGGTCCCAATTACCATTGAGACTGCTGTAATCCTATCTGTATAAACACTGTATTGTAGAGGTCACAGAATTTGGGTGCATTTCGAAAATACCTTTCTTAATAGTTTTATTGTAATTGTACTTCAGCTAAGTTTTTGCCACACTAGTTGTTATGGGGAACTTTCACAGACCTGCGCTCAGGGCTCATCAGCAAAAAATGGCAGATGTCATTGTTGTTTCAAACAGGTGTAAACCTCTGCCAGTTTTGGTCAAACCTTTAGTAACAAAGCACCCCCATGAATGCATGCTCTTTGCCTAACAAAAGCCACTATTTTAAACTTTCATCAACCCTCCAGCTCCCATGAGAAACCAAGACAGAATTTATCCTTACAATATCAAACAGAAGTTATGAAAGTAAGGGAAAAGATCATTTAGGGGATTAGTAGTCAATCCAATATCAAATTCTTCAAACTGACACCATTTGAATTCTATGGTAGACAGTTAGGGATGAGATGTTGGGAGTGGAAAGGTAAAGAAATGTAAGAATTACATAGTAGTGTAAAGTACACATCTTCCATGTATTTTAGGAATTGTCTGAGTGAAATATCATTTTTTGTTCCTGCAGAGAAAGAAGAGAGAAAGACAGAAAGGACAGAGAAAAAAGAGATTTTATGGCAGCCAGAGATGGACGGGAAAACCGAGAGCATCTGGCTTCCTCCAAACCCAGCAAATGTGAGTTAAACTCAAACTCTTATAAGTGATTCACAAGTAACTTGTCCCTTCAATATCAATACACTCTCTAGCCAAAAAAGTGGTAAATATTGATAAAATCATCTGATAAAAAATACTATTTCAATGCAACACTAAGTTGTCTTCACTATAAATTGCAACAAGAGGGGGCAATTACTGCTTGAATCTTGTGAGTGAAAGGTTTATTTGGTATTGTATGATTAAATACCTTTTGATTTCAAAAATACTCCTCTGTAGAATTCAGAGACCCCCAAAAATTTGGGCCTCTCTTGCAAAGAAATCTCCAACAAGGACAACTTTTGACATGGTCACACATACTGATTGGCACTAAATTTTAGTTACCTGTAGTCTAAATGACTTTAGTCGACCAAAAAACTGTTTTTAGAAATGAGATTGCATACAGGGAGTGAGTTTGACTGAGTACTTCAGAAATGTAACACTTGGGAAAGGCTGGAGTTGGTTGATGTATTTATATCTGAAAATTCTTTCAGACATTTCCCCTTCAAAGAATATTCATCGAGATCATCATAGCTCTAGTGATAAGCGAGATGGAAACCATACAGAGAGTAGGAATATGTCTGCTGAGCAGAAAAAAGAAATCCAGCAGAGATTGTCGGGAACAACTGACAGAGGATCTCCGGTTGTCAAAACTTCTTGTGTACACACCGCTGCTCTTCCAACAGTTGTCTATAGGTGAGTGGAGATAACTTTATCAACTATACCATAGGTTTTATTGTTGTCCTGATCTGTTTTTGATCTTTCATGTTTTTGATCTTTCAAACGTTCATTTCTCATAAAGGAAGTCTTAATCCAACTATTTGCTTCTTGCTTACAATCCACTCCTTCATAGGCCTGTCTATTGGTGAACACCTTCTATCAATATTTCTTTTTAGGTTTGCATGGTTGCTAATTTTTTCCTCTTTTTATTAGACCTTCTCCTACTGTGGCTAGTATGGGAGGAGAATCTGCGGGTAAGGTTTTTGTAGCCTAATTTAAGGTAGAATTAATTGGGAAAAAAAAAGACAAAGGAAAAAAGAAATTGAAGAACACACTCAAAATTGTCAGGTTTTTTTATTATTTTTATTTCTCCTTTTAAATTGCAGTTTCACCCTCTGGAAGCTTACAAGATGTTTCACCTCCAACCACTCCATCTTCACGTTCCAACATGTACGAGCCATCCTCACACACTCCTTCACCAAATATAGTCACAGCTGTTTCACCTCAAGTTGCTCAGCAGCATGGAGTACCTTCTCCTCAATTTTCTTCCCGACATTCAGCGATTTCCTTAGCACCAAATGTATTCCCCCAAGCACCTGCAGTTACAGGTGCCCCAAGAGTAGTGCCACAGCAGTACCAGTATCCTGTAGGGCATCCTCATATTCAGAATGACTATAGACAGCAGTATGTGAATAGCAACAGTAACCCTCCTCAGCTCCAAATAACTAAGGCAGCATTACCTCTTCAAGCAACACATGTCCCTTCACCCCAGCAACCAGTGATGTTCAACCAACAGATTTCTTCGCAGACAGCCCTTCACCCATTACAGCAAGCCACACTAGTGCTCCAACAACGAAAGATGTCTGAGGTTTGTAAACATTTTTTTAGTTGAAATGGTGGAATTTTGCCTGATTATCGATAAGATTTTCAAATCATGCAAGTATATTGTGCATAATGAGTTGTATTGTTAGTCATCTCTTGGACAACCCTGCAATAGTCTAAGCACTATTGAAAAGATTGTCTTTAACAAACCCTGTCACTTGCTAACAGTAGTCAGTGTTTAGGATGCAAGTAGCATAATGTGATTTTCTGATTTTGAAGGAGAAACTTAAAATGCTAGTCTATCGCATGTCACCCCTGACAATTCAACAGCACCTTAACTCCCTTGTGGAGATGGCCACTGTGAGAGTAAAGTCTTAAAGTTTCTTGCCTGAGAGCAAGACACAGTGACCTAGCCAGCACTCAAACAAGGACCTCCTGACTTGGGATTCTGAGGAGGCATGTAAGGGTTTCTATGCCAGGGGAGAATGGATCAAAATAAATGTATCCTATGCACAATTTTACTGAGTGGTTGAGCAGTTGTGTTAGTAGTATTGCTCAAAACAGGTGACCAGATATAAAAGAAGCCAGAAATAGAGCTTGCTAAGTTGATACATACATACATACATACATACATACATACATACATACATACATACATACATACATACATACATACATACATACATACATACATACATACATACATACATACATACATACATACATACATACATACATACATACATACATACATACATACATACATACATACATACATACATACATACATACATACATACATACATACATACATACATATATACATATATATATACATACATATATACATATATACATATACATACATACATACATACATATATATATATATATACATATATATACATACATACATACATATATACATACATACATATATATATATATATATACATACATACATACATACATACATATATATATACATATATACATACATACATACATACATACATACATACATACATACATACATACATACATACATACATACATACATACATACATACATACATACATACATACATACATACATACATACATACATACATACATTACTTTATAAACATGGCTGACACTTAGCTATATAAGGCTAGTTTACAGGTCAGTCATGATGACCCAGTATTTAAAAAAAATTAGTTTGGTGACCCACCTTGCTATTTTGGGTACAAATTATATTTATTATTATGCATTTGTAAAGAAAATTTTTTTAAAATAGATTATTCAGTGAATATTTTTTTACACCTTTGCCAGCATCTTCCTAAATAACTCGGGTTCTTGTAGATAGTTTTCTTCTCAAATTGGATGTAAGAATAGAGAATGTTGTGTGGTTTTAGAAATTAAAAAAAAAACTTGGTCACAGACTTGGTTCTTGAGATATCTTTCAGAAACTGAGTTTTAGAGAGCTTTTCAGTGTCACTTAACTGTTGCCATGGCAACAGATGAGGCTGACTAACACCCTTAACAATTGCTTTACAGTAGTTTTATACAGATGTTAAAACATCTCCCTGATGTTGAGATCAACCATCCTGATATCTTTTATAATTGGATACATGCTGTTAATTGTTGGAAACCCTTTAGAGCATCAACAAAGCTACCATATCTTAAAAAATTTATTGTTTAATTTTTTCACCTGGGTGATCATTAAAGATACTTCATGTAATGCAAGGGCAATGTCCTTGGATCAATCTTAATTGAGGCTTTTTTATGGTAATTTGTTTTTTCTTTTGCTATAGGCACAAGCAGCTGCAGCAGGAGTAGGGAATATACAGCCATCATATCCAGTGGGCAAGTAGCTTAGTTTCCATCGATTCAAGGTTTTAAAACAAGTAGTGACATTTGAACTGTAGTACTTGTCCAAAATAGGAGTATCTGTGACATACAGTTTGTTGGCAATTCAAAGTGTTCAATCAGTGAAGCTTATAACATGAGTGAAATTCAAATTCAGTCAGATTTTTTTGTACACATGGCTGACTGTCATGTCTTTTCTCCTTTCATTTTATGGTACTACTATCTAATAGCTCATTTCTACAAGTATTTTTTTGTCTTGTACTTAGCTGTTTTTATTCTTAACTATGTCTTTTCACCTTGAAAAACAGCAGCCTCAACAGTAACACCTGCAGCACCTCTTCCACAGCTTGCAGTCTCACCAGTCTCAGTGGCTATACACAGAAAGGAGGACAGGTCACATGTACACAGCTCACCTGGTTCTCCTGTGGTGTTCACTCAACATCCACCTGTGGCAGTAGTAAATGAGTCAAGCAGCTCACATTCACATCACTCCTCTCACCAACAGCTTGCATCTAGCTCCAGTTTAGTGTCATCTAGTCCTCTGTCTCACTCCTCTAATGCATCAAGTCCAGTACCTGTGGTACAACCTGCCGCTCCTACTGTCAACTTACAGACAGTAGCAAAATATGTGGATAAAAATCTCATCTCTCATTTGTCAGCCTGGCCCACAGAGGCGATGGATAGACAAGTAAGGACTTAAGGTGTAGCAGGATAAAAATATAATAATAATAATGATAATGATAATAATAATAGTAATAATGATAATAATAATAATATTAGTTGGATACAGCTGGGATTGAAAGCAAAAACAGCAAGCTCTTGGCTAAGCATTGACTTGTTCTGTGCTTTCATTTGAAAAATTGGGTACAAATTTGATTGGATGTTGAGGTTGAGGTTGTAACATTATTGTTATGTTGTTCTAACTTTGTTACATGTATATACAAGATATGATTGTGGTACTAGATGATCCAATGAAATGGTCATGGGCAAAATTGGTGCTGTGATTATGGCTCTTGATTGTTTCAATAATTTCTTTCAGTTGCAGAAACTATGGGAAGAAACAGGTTCATTTTCTAATGATAGTGACAAAGCCAAAATCGAACAAATGCAGCTACAGTCTGAAGTAGGTTTTATGGAAATGAGATTAGACACAGCAAGTAGGAGGTGAGGCATATGAGGAACTTGTACAAGCATTTATCCTGAACATCTTAGCATCAGCACGCGTACTTTCCATACTGTTCTCTAAAAATTTCTTAAGCTTCTTTAGTTGGTGATCATTTCCTTTATTCTAGTGACCTTGAAGTTCGATTCAGGGGCAATACTGTGAGGAGAAATTATATGTCAGTCACCCTTAAGGGTTAACAGAGTTCTTCTACGGTCTTAATCCATGTGATATAGCATTTATACTGCAACAAATCCAGGAGGTTTTTGTCCATGGCATGTCTCAAGCCCTTGAATGGCAGGAATCCGCCATTCTTAGTTTGGTTTTCTCTGATGTATTATAACCATCCACTTTCCATATTGCATACATCACAGTGCCTTTATTTTCTTTTCCTTTCATTTGAGGTAATGCCAACTTGCAATAGTACTTTTTCATTTATGCCTTTTTTTGTTCTTCAGCTTAAATTTGTTTTAATTTAAACAACAAATACTCCTGAAAAAGTATTTCGTCTCCGGTAATTTTTTTATATTTCTATTTCCTGTGCAGAATTTCTTCATTAAAAGGGATGACGAGAACTTTAGAAGCATTACTGGCAGAATCAGAGGCCAAATTCTTGTCTTAGTGAAACAACTTGTCGAGTTCAGTGACAACTGAACATGATGAAGTTGTGATAGAAAAAGCAAACGAGAAGTCATGACGGCAACGATGTACAGCTTCAATATTCAAAGACCAAAGTGATAGCTAACAATGATACCATGGGAGCGATGTACAGCGCTGTTGCTTGGGAAACCTTAAGACGTGAACAGTCTCAACTAAAGCCAGTCATAGGTGACTGACAGAGTAGTGAGAGATACATTGGTAGTCTGCTTATAGAAGTCTAAGTTTCTGTTGATAATGAGGTATCCCTCTGTGATGTTGTGGAGTATTTGGTAGATATATTGCTTGGCAAAGCCAAGGGTATTGGTTAGGTTGAAATTCGCACTCCACAGATCCCTGGTCGTTAACTTCTTTTCTATTTTTTTTCCTGTCCCTTCCATCCATAGTGAACTTAAGAGCGACAAAACCGTAATTAAAGGCACAAGCCATTGTAAAATATGACACGTAACTGATAACGAAGTAAAGAAATGTTTTCTTTCTAAATGTCATTTTGAGTATTTGTACGAAACATGCCATCAAATAAGCCAAATAATAAAGTTTTTTTTATGGTGTGATGTGCGGACGTGAGTATGGTGAAAAATTGGCCGAGTCCATGTATGCTGGTGTATGGATCTGAGGGGTCGTTAGCGCGCTGAAACACCCAGGTCTGGAGGACTGAACTAAGATAGTTAAGGGCAGCTGACGATGGGCGTTGGTTCTGGTCTTCGTGGTTCTTTCATATCTCGAGCATTTTGATCGTGCTATATTATGATTTAATCTGAGAAGAAGCGTGCGTTATCGCAAGTAAAACACTAAGAGAAGAAAAACTATGCGGTATTTGACGGGGCGAACATGTGGTGCGAGTGAAACATTGGTAATCGGATAAACCGGTTGGTTACCGGTCTGCGCTTCGGCGGACATCTAAGAGTACAGGAACACTTCAGTTGCCTGTGGCTTCCTAATTTTTTCTTGCTTATCATTCGTTATAGTAGTCCAAGTTTTAAAAGAAAGTTAGAATGTAAGAGGATTTTTTTTTCACCGCGAGCTTGTCCTGAGTCAGCGATGATATCGATTTGAATCCAGTACACCTCACAGTTTAAGGACCGTTGTTTGACCGGCTGTGAATGATGTATCATCTTCCTTCGTTCCTCTAAGGTGCTTCGTTTCGTTTTTGTGCTCTGATCAGAATATCCTAGTTTGGGCTGAAAAAGGAGCATTAAGAACTGAACTTGCATATAAGACCGACGGAATCTCTTGGGTTTCTATCTCTTCTTACAATTTTTCTTTTTGTGAAATTGTTTCTACTGTTGTTGAATTCCATGTTGTAAGGGGGTTGTAGTTCCAATCGCTAAAGGTGGGATCATGGACACAGGTTACGGTAGTGATAACTGTTGTGGACTTGTTTAACATGATTCCAACGGAAACTTGTCCTCTGACCCTTACAAGATGAAGTCTTTCAACTGATTTAGGGATAGCTGTCAATCGTGGTTAATTTGACGTCAAAAATCGAAAAATGTTGCCATGACAAGTATTGAATCGGCATACGACAAAGCAAGTTCTGATTCATTGTTTACTTCTTTCTACGAAGAAAGAAAAAAAGCAATTCCACTGAAACAGAAGACCGACCCATTTTCAACCCTAGCAAAGCCAGATCTTTTATTAAATGCTGCCAAAACTTATGATTCTAAAAATATGTATACATAACAGGTAAAATCTTAAATTTGAATAATAACAATAGATAGAAAACTTACAAAAAGCAGTTCGTATTCACAATTGGTACAAACGTAAAAAAAACCCAACTTGCAGAGCCACCACTGTCACCGGGATCATTTAGAAAAACTTGAATAATCGTAAAGAGCGTTTTTCGATTGTGTGGCGTAAAACCACAACCAAAATAATCAGAAAAAATGAGAATACCTTGAATAGCCAATGAGAACTCAAAGTGAAAACAACCAAATTCCCTAAAGCGCGGGAAAACGCGGGCGACCAAGTCGTGATTGGTTTCAATTTTGCAAATGATTGGTTGATAGAGTGGCGCGAGGTTTCTGGACCAATCACAGATAGAAGTAAGGCAAAACCAAAGCAATCTCGGTTACTTTCGACACTGACTTGAAAATTTGTGTACTAAAGGAAATTCATCATTGGCTATCAGTGCTAACGACTGAAGCAAGCAAAGAGAACAAAGAATTTAGGCGAAGCTCGCTGCTTATTTTATGCTTAAATGATCCCGTTAACTGTAGTTACACTGTAAGTCATTTTGAACCAAACTAAGGCCGCACCTATTGCAGCCCCGTTCAAGAATTAAAAAACAGCCTCGAGGAGATTGGATGTACAAAAAAAAAAAAATACAGAAATTTAAACTCTGTTGTTTAACAGCAATCGTACAAACGCTCCTATTTCTTTGTGAAAACATCTCAAGCAATTCCACATTGGTTTCATTCTCAATAAAATGCAACGTCGTCTTCATGTCACTCCCCCTTAATATAAGATTGTAGCCATGTTCACATCCACAAATTATCATATACAAGTGTTGGCTGACAAGCCACATGAAACTAAAAACTACCAAATTACTAAAACTCAGCCTTACAATGTTTCATTTCCTAAATTGTTCTTTGTGGTCAATAATAATTTTCTGTAAGATAACTTGACTTTCCTACAAAATTGTTACAAGTCAAATTGACTTTTGCCTACCCAAAAAAATCAATTTCTTTATCACTGACATAACATCAAAATTAGTGATTGATCACCGAAAAAAGGAAAAATATATAGTAAAAGATGTACATCACATTACATAACTGTCGACAATATTCAGCACCTCTGCTTCCTGCCTTGTAAAAAGCATTTCAAATTCGCAAGCTAATAAATTGCCAGCACTTTCAGAGATTTGATAGCATCTACATTGTTCACCTTCACAGCCAACATTTAGTCTTGTCACGCAACACACTGGAAAAGCTTCTTACAAGCGTCACGAGCAGTAAGGCCGTGGTAGAAAGCGTGCTGCACGACGGGAACAAACGACGGTTGCAAAGGAGACTACTTTACCATATAAAGATTAGCTTGCAATCAAGTTTTCTAAACCAGCCCTGCCGGTTGATCAATAAATGTGATAATCACGTTAATAACATGTGCTGCTTTGGTTCCAGACCAAGCAGTTAAACACACGTGTGTGACACAAAGTTATTTAACAATTAAACTTATTTCTGATGATATAAAATTTTCCAAGCCAACGTGCACAGGATCAACAACTGACTTGACAATCTTGAAAAGATCAAAAACTGCGGAGAAACAAACGTCATACTTAGTAATGTCCTTTTAACACTGTAATACTTCGGAATGACTAGCATGTAAATTCTCCTTACAATATCAGCCCTGAATCAAACATGAAGGTCGCGAGAATACAAGGAATGATCACCAACTAAATAAGCTCTTGATTGTTCAACAAATTCTCCTTGTCAATACATTAGGAAATGTATAGAGAACAGAAGGAGAATATGCATACCAATGTTCGGGTGTAAAGAGTAAACAATAAATGGATGTGGAATATGCCCGCCACGCCCTTCAGCTAACTGTCTTGGGAACAGGTTCTCAGTGCTACATCGAGTGGTTTGAATCCAGGTGCAAAATTTGATCGTGTATAGTCCGGGTGAGGGTAGCCCTGCGAAGAACTGCTGTGGAAACGCTAGTCAGGACGACCCTCACTCTGACGAAGGGATAACGCTCGAAACGTCAGATTTGAAATTCTTTACGGAGGCCAATTTACGTTATCAACTCAGTTGACAATACTAAATTACCCTGTTATACTCTTTCTTCGACGCAGCACCGCAGTTTCTTTAGAAACTTACCCCCTTTATTCATCTACCCTCACCTGGACGACCAAATTACAAGTTCGGTTTCTCAGTGGATGGAACAAATAAATCCAACATCTTTCCCATCCCAAATTTCTTTTCAATACACTTTGCCACCTGGGCTTTGTATCTAAAATCCTGAGCTTACTAAACACACTTTAGCTGTGAGTTGCAAAACAGACAAACAAAGGCTAAAAGTACCTGAATTGTTTATCACTTCCATCAGAATCTTGTAGTATCTGAAAAATTCAATTGAACACTACAAGGGCGTTAATTTTACTACATCTATTACTGTGAAAGATACACTGAGTGAAAAATTCACTTCATTGTTGCCAAATTGTGAGATAAGTGTGAGGAATGAACTAAATCGACTGCATAACGCCTACAGTCTCCCAGATTACAGGACAAAAACACGGAAGAATTTCTTGCCTCAATATTTAGTAGCGAAATGTTAGCAAAGTATATTAACGTAACCCAATGGATAACATTAGACATAATTTCCCATGTTAGGAAAATATTAGAAGTTAAATCGTTACACTAAGTAACCTTAAGCTCAAGAAGCTCAGATCACAAATGAAGAATGTTATATTTGCACGCTTTGCGTATGACGTCATCCACCTACTCTTAGTAACACATTATGCGACAATTTGAAGGTTCGTCATTGAATTTTCCCCATCATGCAAGAGGGGTTGGAATCTGAAATCGAGGTTACCATTTTAAAATTTGAAAAAGATGTCTTGCGTATCTAAGTGGCTCTCATGTTACTCAGCTTCCTGGCACACTTTTCCATCAAAATTGCACCTCAAAGCTCCTACCTCTTCCTATGATAACTTTTCAAGCGGTTGACTGCGCTTGCCTTCATTGTTCATGAAAATTTGTATTAATAGATATATCCATATTTGTATTCATAATTTAATATACAGCGACGTGATAAATTACTCGTGGCCATTTTTGATCTTAGTGAGATTTAAACATGAAACGGCACTTAAAATAAATTTTAAAAATTATCGGTTATTAACTTTCTGAAGGAGTGCCTCATTTGTTCGCCTTCAGCGACAGAAATACACTACCAGAATTATAGAGCTCTGATCTAAAAATGTTGCGAACGAAATTTCTTTTTCTCTTAAATATGCGTAGAATTAAAGGAGGACTCGAAAGACAACCCAGCGGTGAAATAACACAAATACTGAACACCAGAAGAATTATAAACCGTTTATTCTTTACTTGTTCACTATTTTTCACAAGTAAAATTAACTTCCTTCTCACAACATCCATGTCTCAGCATCAGATCATTTCGCTGGACAATTAATTGGTATGAAAATTCAATATAACCCGACATACGGAACGAAAATATACATTTCAAGACTCTTTAGCGCCTGATGACGGTAAAAAAAAAACGTACGACATCAAAAAACCTAGAAGTGTCTCTGAACAAAATAATGAAATATGAAATATTACACCACCTCTTATTACAGATATGAAATATCGAGCACTTTCAATTGGTTTCTACTTCAAAACATTACAGCCTTTTATT